GTACCTAAAACCATAGTGAATACAAATCATCTGAGAAAGAAAGATAGCCAGAAACAGTGATGGAAAGTTCATTCGATAGACAAGCCAACATTTAGGATCATAGCCAATTTTTTTTCTGTTAGTTGTGTATCTGTGAAACAAATCAATTTGATTTCCTTTAAAAATGGCCATCGTTTTCATCATTGGAATTTTTTTTTGCCGACTTTAGAATTCCGTTGATTGCTTGCTTTGTTTTGGCTTTGATTCTGTTCAATAATTGTTTGTTGAACATGCACTATAGTGTAGTAGTAATGATGATGATAATGATTTTGTTAACACTTGCATGTCAGCTAAGTATCGATTCTTTCCTCCGTTGTGTTCAAATTGGTGAATATTTAGAAATGAAAAAAAAAAAATTTTAACAACAGAAAATAATCAATTATTGATTGAAAACAGGTTTTCATTTGCTCTTTTGTAATCATTATCATTATTCATCATCATCATCCGCTTGGTTGATTCAAATGAAGAGATGCAGGGATAAAAGAATTATTGAAATCGTCATCGTGTAATGATAAATTAGATTTTCGATTTTCGTTGATCATTTAATCTCTATTTTATTTTATCCCGATTTTCAACTTTTTCATGGTAATAATGATGACGATCTAGTTTGATTATGATATTTATTTTACCATCACTAATGGATCTTATTTTTTTTTCTGGTTTGTTTATTCATTCATTTTGGTTGTTAATGAAAAATTTTTCATTTCCAATTATTTTTTTTTGTTTTGTTTGTTGCCATACGAAACCCCAGTACACATGTTTCAGCAGCAACAACAACAACAACAGCAACAGCAACATCTTGTTGCCTGAATTAATGAAATGAAAAAAAAAGATGCTTTTCATTTTAATTTGTAATTTTGCTTTTTCTTTTGCATTCACATTGGTTCATAATTGTGAAATTTCATTATTTTTTTTGTCAAAGTAAATATCATCATCAATTATAGCCTACATCGACGATAACATCGGTGTCAACTACTACTACTACTAAGCCTTTGATTTATCTTAATATTTTATATATATATAAAACGAGCTTGAAAATTTTTTTTGTTGCTTAATAATTTAAAATTCAATATTCTATCATCATGTCATCAAGATTATTAAGAGATTAAAATAAAAAAAAAGATAAAACATCAGACATCAAAATGTTACACGTACGATCATATAGTGTACGCATGAAAAAGCGTAATATGGAAACGGTTTCATCATTTCGCCGTAATCTACAAAGAAGACGTGGCGCAAATGATACCGGTAGCGGTGCTGGTGGTGGTGGTGGTGGTACTAACGATAGTTTTCGTTCAAAATCTTCACGACGACGAAGTACATCATTAACAACTACAAGCGGAAGTTTATTGAATGAAACCACACATCAATCATCATCACCATATCATCATCGATCACAGTCAAATCAACAACAACAATCTTCTTTAAAGAATCAATCATTGATTCAATCGCCATCACCACCAATACCGGCTACACCTGGTTATTTGGATCATCATCAACAAAAACAATTGAATAAAAAACTGAATGAATTTAATGATTCTTATACCGGTGTAATATTGGAATCACCAAAATTGGTTAAATTTATTGACAAACAAACATCGGATAAACATGATCGAAAATTATCGATCGATGGCAAAGCTAAAGAAAAATTATCATTCAGACGTGTTAGGTATGTATATGTATCGATGGTGTCATAACATGATTATTATACAAGTGTATATCATGAGAAATGAATTCTCGAAAAAATTTTTTGTAATCATCTTGTGTGTTTGTGTCAAATTTAGAATGCGAGAAACAGAACAATTGAAAAATTTTAATTTTGAATTAATTTATCATGACGAACAAAATGAAATTCTTTTGTTTTTTTTTTTGAAAACGGCAAAAATTCAATCACAATGACAATGACAATCATGTTTTGTGTGTGTGTGTTTTTTTCATGACAATTTTTTTGAATTTCACATTATTCCATTTAATAATAAATACGGTCGGTCGGTTTTAAATTTCCGTTGCCCAGATATCAATAGATAGGTATTGGGTTTACAATAACAGTGAATGGTGAGAGAAATTAATCAAAAAAAAAAAAACAAAAGTTTGATTCTCATCCACTAGATGGTGGTTACTGCAATATTCTATAACATGAAAATTGAATTAGAAAAAAATGAATGAATGAATAAATCTATTGCCACCCAAGAATCTGACCGAGAATGGAAAAAATATATCCGCAAATATACCGCTAGCAATTGACTCTTGAATATCTTGATTATTTTTTTTTATTCACAAACGATTGCTGCCCTCTATATATCATGTGTGTGTGTGCGTGTGTGTTCATCATCATCATTGAATATTTTCTAAAATCAAACAAACAAACAAATAAAACAAAGTTATGCCAACCAAGTTTCATTGGATCGAGATTCTACGTTATCATAAAAAAAAAAAATTTTTTTTTGTTGTTGGCTGTGGAAAACCCATTTATTTGTGATTGCATGAAAATGATTGTTCCATAAATTTACTTTTCTTTTTGCAGAAAAAAAACAGTAATACTTTCAGGTCAACTTGATAAAATTAGCAAAAAAAAAGAGAAAAAAATTCAAAATAGTCAACAACAACTGCAACGAAAGAAGAATAAAAACTTGAGAAAAAAAACTTTACAATTCTTTCGATTCACTTTTCATTTCAACTATCCATTGCTACAAATTTTTTCATATTCTTTTACACTATATGTATTCGAACAAAAAAAAAAAAAAAAAATATTTCCACTAAAGATTCATTGAATCGAAAAAAAACCAACAGCCGCCGTTTTGAGTTTTCCCCAAAACAAAAACTACACATTTGTCGTTTTATATGTTTTTTTTTCTTCTACTTTTTTTTACAAGAAAAAAATGGATCCATTTCATTACTTTTTTTTTCTTCAGCTAACTTTTTTGTATGTTTATGATACTCTCTTGGATTGCTTGGTTAGATATATTTTTTTTTCTCTGTCGGCAGCGATATTGTTGTTGTTATTTAAACTATATGCGTGTGTGTGTGTGTGTGTGTGTGTGTGTGTTGATGAGCGATTCTGAATTCTGCTTCTTTTTCTACAAATTTTTATCCTGATAAACATGGATCTAGGAAAAAAAACTAACTAAAGCTAGTAGTAGCAGTAGTAGTAGCATATATTCCATCCAAAATAATCGTATCGACTTGGAAAGAATCTAATGACGATTGTCTTTCTGGTTATTGTCGGTTGTCGGTTGAATCGGGTAGTAGTGGAAAATGAAAATTTTCTAAAGAAAAAAAAAATATTCATTCAATATATACCAAAAAGAAAAAATGAATGAAAACAGAAATGAGAATCGTGAACAAATATTCTCGTATAACTCATGCGTCATTCGAATATTTGGATCGTTATATTTTTTTTTTTTTTTTTTTTTTTTCACTTTCGCTCATTTTTTTCGTCGTTATTTCACAAATCAATATATAAACTAACTCACACACACACACACACACACACACAGCCATCCGTTTTGAGTTGACGATCCAGAACGGGAAACAACAACAACAACAAAAAAAGTACAAAGAAAAAAAATAAAACATGCGAATGCGTAAATCGTCGTCATAGCCTCTCTATGTATTGAAAGCAAAAGCTATTGGAATGATAAAATGATGAAGAACAATAAGAAATTTGGAGAAAAAAAACGCAAGTGTATGTGTTTGGGTTATATGTTTGTGTGTGTGAGTGTGTGTGTGTGTGTGTGTGTGTGTGTGTGTGTGTGTGTGTGTGTGTGTGTGTGAAACACCAATACCAGATTACGACGACAAGAACGACCATAATGAAGACCACGGTGGCTGTTGTTTTTTATTTTGTTGTTGTTGTTGTTATTGTCGTTATTGCTACTTCTGCGACCAGCCGCCGCGACCTAATAAACGACCGAAATATGTGGTGTGTATGAATCTATGCGTGTTTAGCTTTTTTTTATATTCTGGATTCATCATTCTTTCATTTTTTGTCTCTCTGTGTGTGTGTGTTTTGTTCGGCGTATGTCCAAAACACCAACGAACCAGAAAAAAAATGAATCCAACAAATAAAACTCTTTTTTTTCTAAAATCCAGAATACACACCACACACAAATAAAATCAAACAACGATTGATTCGATTAATATTTAACCGGCTGATTGCCGAAGATGATGATTTCTGAATTGTTGAATTGTTGATTGTTTTATTTTTTTTTTTTTGTGTAGGTTTTTCTGTGTGTTTGTCGGTGTGTGTTTGTGTGTGTGTATGGGTGGGTGTGTTGTTGTGAATGTGTAAATAATAAAGAATCATAGAATCGTATTCCTCAGTGTTGATTTTACGCCTACTACTTTTTCATTTAACGTTATCAATTTTTTTTTTCTGGATTCAAGTGCAATGACATTTACGTGTTTTTTTTTGACGCATCACACACACATGCATCATCATCATCATCATTTTGTCATTCAACAATACAATGTGTTTTGTTGGGCTTCATGATTGATTGGTTGATTGATTAATGAAAATCCATTATGTTCAAAAAAAAAAAAATTCAAAAATAAAAAACATGTGCAATATTCATTGTTTTTGTTTAACCATTTCAAAATTGTTATTGTTCAGATTCGATTAAACACTTTTACATGTTTAAAGTCTGCAAAAAAAAAATCATGATGCTATCATAATACACACATGATGAATATTTAATAAGAAATTGGATTGTAAGAAAAATTCTGATCTGATTTCCAAAAATTTTTTCCTTCATTATTATTGTTGTGTTTAGAATAAAATCCAACCAAAAATCAATTCAGGTATGACTTTGACTTTGATTTTACACAATGATTGTATAAGCCCGATATATTATTAATATATGAATGTGATCGTAAATAATTGGAATTTTTATTTTCAATCAAAGAAATTTATCGTCAATTCTTGATAAATCATTTTTTTTTTTTTGTAAATTTTTTTTCAGTTTACAAGCATTAAGTGCTGAAGTATCGAACGTTGGTGCTGTTAGTGGCGAAGGTGTTGGTGCCGGTGGTGAAGTTGATCCAAGTGTTTATAATCGACATCGTCGTTTAACATCATTATATAGTTCATATGGACCGGAAGCTGCAGCCATCTTAGAAGCACAAAAAATGGCAAGCAAACGTAAACCACCGGCTGGACAGCCCGGTACCATCGGTAGTTCCGGTGGCACCGGTAAAGGTCCATCATCATTGTTTATATTTTCTGATGATAATTTTATAAGAAGACATACACGTTTCATCATCGAATGGCCATATCCTTTTCACACATAATCAAAATTTTGACCAAAAAAAAAAAATCAAAATCAAAATGTCAGAATTCCAATCCAATCCAATCGAATCAATTATTTTATCATTAATTTTGATTCAAGTTTGTATTTTCGATAATTCCATTTCAAATTGAATGACATGCATACGACAAGCTGTTGTCGTCGTCAGGCATATTTCCATATATATAATTGTTTTGGTTATTTGATTCCATCAAATTCCTTTCATATATATGTGGTTTTGTCATATTTGGCTATCGGCTCGATTGCCCTTTCATTTTATTTTAGTGTAGTTAGTACACAAAGTTGTCATCTACTAGATTTAGCTATTTGTTTTTGGCCGAATAAATTAATGGCCTTTTTTCTTTTTTTTTCTTTGGCTTATTTTTTCATAGAGAGAGAGAAAGAGAGAAAGAAATCAAAAGGATGCGAAAGTAAAAATTGCTTTTGTTTTTGTTTTTGTTTTGTAGGATTTAGGGCAAATTTTTTTCATTTTTTTTTTATTTATCATTTGATGTTTTTATTATTATTAGAAATATATAAAGTGCCAATTTCAAATGTTCACAGATCCAATTCAAAATCACTTGAATCGGAAAAAATACTGTGGCTCGCTTATAAGCCAAGTTTGGTTGTTTCTTTTTTTTCAGCCAATTTGTATCCATTGAAGCGAATGAAATTGATCGAATATATGTATGTGATGAAGAAAAGAAGAAGAAGAAGAAGAAGAAAAGTTCTGATAAATTCTGTAGTCAGTTTCTTCTTTCATTCACAACTCTTTCTTTTTTTCTTTCGATATAGAAATCACCACAAAACAAAGAAAAAAAAATGGAAACCAAATCAATGACATATTCATGCATTTGCTACATAATGACATGTGCCAGAATTTTTTGCCAAAAGATTTCCCATTGTTTTTTAGATCTAAATGGAAATCATCATCATCATCATTATTATTAGCGGTATAGATTTTGGTTCTATTGTTTTTCAAACCATTCTAATATACAAATGAACAATGGAAACCGAAAAAGAGAGAGAGAAGAAACAATTTCAAATACAAAAAACAAATAATGAGACATTGTTTTCTGGTCAAACACAAGAAAACGAAAACACAAACATTCATATAGACATAGAATATATATCAGATCAATCAAAGTTGTTGTCATTATGTGACAATTTTGGTTCCATTCTATATCATCATATTCTGTCGTCCATTGTCATCAGATAAATGCATGCAAGCACCCGGCAAAAGAAGAGAGACAGAGAAAAAAAAACTGTCAGTTTTTATTGTTGCAAACAAATGCAAACATTACGACAGCAAAAAAAAAAATAAAAATAATTATTCCATGAATTAGACTGAAAAAAATCCGACATCAAAAAACAAAACTTGATCACACAGATTGTCATGTTCAAGCAATCATAAATCTTTTTTTTTTTTTCATTATTATCATTGTATATTTGCCAAGTCTGTATATTGTTTTTCAGTTCAGATCTCCAGTATTATTCAATTTATGTGTTGACTTTTCATTTCAAAAACAAAAATTTTGTATACCGTTATTTATTTGAAATTTCATTGTCATCATCATTGTAGCTTCTGATATTTTATTTTGTACTTTTGGATCATATTACGTTTGTTGCTGCTTCTATAGTAGCACACACACACACACACACATATGTAAAACATTTGTTTCCAAAATTTATGTGTGTGTGTCTGTTTTGTCATCGACCTAAATTCTATGGTATAGATGGATGTTTGTGTTGCAAAAAAAAAAAACAAATCCAAAAGAAAAAAAATTTGAAAGGCCAACACTGAATGATGATTATATGAACATTAATTATTTATTTTCACACACACACACGCACACACTCGAAAAAAAAACATTTTTGGTATTAATTCTCTTGTGTGTGTGTGTGTGTGTGCATGGCAACAAAAAGAGTCATATTCTTGTTCTTTTGTGTGTATGAATGAAAATCATTTTCTTTGATTAATATGAATTCATTCAATGATTTGAATTGTGGTGATTTCAGGTTACAAATTAATATAAAAAAGATGTTTTTGGCTTGTTGCATTTCAACCACTAGATGTAGATTGACATGATTTTTTTGATTCCATGTTGAAAAACAAATCATTTCAACACCACACCCTATGTGTGTGTGATCACGTTTCAATTCAATGATCCAATCTGTCTTTAACTTCATAGATATCTTTTTTTTCGTCACCAAATAATATTGAATCACTCGATATAATGACAATGATTGAGAAATTCCGTCAACCGTTTCTTGATTGCTTTCAATTTTCATAAAAAAAAATGGAAAAACATTATTTCCATTCAATTCAATGAACGATTCTCATGAGATTTATTTTCTTATCTGTCTTATTAGCTTCCCTATTTGTTTGATTATCATGATGATGATGATAAGAAATTAATATGAAAATGGAATGAGCGAAAAAAAACTATTTGATGATGATATTTGAGATACAATAATGATTCAAGGATCAAAGACATTTTTTATTCTGATGAAATTCAAAAAATTCGATTATATTTCCTTAATGTTGATTTTGTAAAAAAAATTTTTTTTCCTTCATTGATAAACACTGTGTTCGAATATGCTGTCCTACTCACCATCATTGCCAACTGTGTGGTGCTCGCTTTGGAAGAGCATCTACCAGACAAAGATCGTACGCCTTTATCACTTAAATTGGTAATGTGTAAATTGTTTGGTTCATTTTTTTTCTGACTAACAATTTTAACAATCATCAAATATATAATACAGGAAACATCGGAGCCTTATTTTTTAGGAATTTTTTGTGTTGAAGCTACATTGAAAATTTTGGCTTTAGGTTTCATTCTACATAAAGGATCATATCTTAGAAATGTTTGGAATATATTGGATTTCATAGTCGTATTGACTGGGTTTGTATTTTTATTATTTTTTTTGTTTCAATTTTTTTTCATAATTTTGCTTTGTTTATATTGACCCCCAATTTATGTTGCTTGTTTTTAATTATAATGATATATTTTTTGTGTGGAAAAAAAATTAAATTCAAAATAAAAAAAAACAGTATCGCAAACAAAGTAATCGAAGGAAGTGAATTTAAAAACATCGATTTTCGTATGTTGCGTTCGTTTCGTGTATTGCGTCCATTGAAATTGGTATCACGGACGCCAAGTAAGTATATTGAATATTCAGAAACAGAAAATGTGACAACAATACACAAACAGAATTTGAATTGATTCGAAGAGGAATTTTTTTGCGTTTTTGTTTTTTGTTTGCAACTGAAAAACTGCAATTTGCATGATGATCATTTATATTTTGCTTGCAATTTTTTTTGTGCCCGTCATTTTTTGTTTGTTTGTTTTGATTTTCATGCTTGTATTAATTAATTAATTAATTTCATAATTTTTTTTTCGTAATTAATCATCATTTTTTCTCATCAACTTTTCATTCTCATTGTCCACTTTATTATTTTTAAAATTGCCTGTCTTCATCATGTAAATCATACTGTGTTTGTGTGTGTGTGCTCGTTTATTTTATTCTTTCATTGTGAATTGTTCTCATTTGATGATCAATTTTGATACGTGATTCAATTGTGCCTGTTCAATCGACACTTGAAAACAAAACATGGAATGATTTGAACAAAAAAAAAACTTAATTTTCATTTAATTATTTGGAATGAATGATGATAAACCTGCTTGCCTGTCCTTGGAATGAATGACCAATCAATCAATCTAGCCTGATCACCTACTTCATACCGACCGATATAAAAGTATTAGGAGGCGTAGATCTTAAAACATTGCGTGCAATACGTGTTCTAAGGCCATTGAAATTGGTTTCCGGTGTGCCAAGTAAGTACCAAAACAAATAAACAGAAAAAATTAAAATGAAAAAATAGCGTTTTCGTTGTTGTTGTTTGCATTTTGGCAAAATTATTTTTCCGGTATATGATTTTTTCATGTTATGTGTGCGATGATACCATTTAGAATTTAAACATTTGATACAGAACGGATCTAGTGTTTGTTTTATTCTAAACTCAAGCATCTTGTTCACCTTGTAAAATAACATTTTTTGTTTTTGTCATTTTTGAATAATTGAATTTTGACAACAATTTTTTACAAATCGTATGATTGTGGTAAAATCAGCTGATAAAAGACAGACATACAATGTGGTTACATCATGAATAAACATTAAAATTAACATCATCATTGAATATACATGATTATTATTATTATTATTATTATTAATTGTTTAATTTTGTTTTCTCAATTCCACTATTAAACAACAAATAAAAGGTTTACAAGTGGTTTTAAAATCCATAATCAAAGCTATGGCCCCATTGTTACAGATTGGTCTATTGGTTTTATTCGCCATCGTTATATTTGCCATAATTGGTCTTGATTTTTATGAAGGAGCTTTACACAAAACTTGCTATCTACTGCCAGATAAAGGTTTGATTAATCAATCAATTATAATTTAGGCAAAACTAATATAATTAATTAATCTATTGCTATGTATCTGAAAAAAATTGTTTCAATCAACTAATAGTTGATATTGAAAAAGAAGGTGGTGAACAAGAAACACCATGTACGATGTTAACTGATCCGGATAAAACACCTAAAGGTGCCTATGTTTGTCCAAATTCTTCTGTTTGCCGTGAAGGCTGGGAAGGTCCCAATTATGGCATCACTAGCTTTGATAATATATTTTTTGCCATGTTGACCGTTTTCCAGTGCATCACTATGGAAGGTTGGACAGCAATTCTTTATTGGGTAAATTGTTTTTTTTTGTTTGCATATAATTTTCAAATCAATCAATCTTTAAACATCATTCCTTTATTTATTAGACAAATGATGCACTTGGCAGCACATACAATTGGATATATTTTGTTCCATTGATCATATTGGGATCATTCTTTATGCTCAATTTGGTTCTTGGTGTTTTGAGCGGGTAAGTTTTTTTCGTTTTTTTTTGTTTGAAATGAATAATTTTGATTTTAAACTCGATGTTTGTCGTTCCGATTTGATTAAATTATAGAGAATTTGCAAAAGAAAGAGAACGGGTAGAGAATCGTCAAGCATTTTTAAAGCTTCGACGACAACAACAATTGGAACGAGAATTAAATGGCTATGTTGAATGGATTTGTAAAGCAGAAGAGGTTATACTGGCTGAAGAACGTACAACCGAAGAAGAGAAGATGCACATTATGGAAGGTTCGTATATTTTTTTTGTTGTTGTTCCATGGTTAAATATTGTTTCAAATAAAAATTTCAATTTCTCAACAGCAAGACGTCGTGCAGCTGCCAAACGTAAAAAATTAAAAAATATGCACAGTAAAAGTACAGATGAAGAAGACGAGGATGAAGATGAAGAAGATGAAGGTAAGTTTAAAGTGGCCAAAAAATTTTTTTCGATTTAATTTGATTATCATAGTCATATACATAGACTTCCTATATATGAGTTTTCTACCTTTAGAGAAAAATTTCTCCATTCTTTTTTTTTCACTGGTCAATCCTAGTTTCAATCAATAGTGACTAAAAATATAGAAATAGTAAGCTAGCTATAGATAGATAGATAGATAGATGAAAAAACTAATCAAAAAAAAATTTTTCTCCAATTTTTGTTTTTCACAACAAATGAAAAAAATCTCAATCAATATTCTTCGATTACCGATATTTATCTCTGTGTGTGTGTGCTTTTTTTTTACCATTCACTGCTTTTCACTTATCAAAATCATTATCACTCACTCACTAAAAATGATTTTTTTTTCACTGATTTTCTGCACATGAATATTCAATTTTTTTTTTGATTTGTTTGTTTTTTTCTATTTTCTTTATTTCATTATTTTTTTTTTTTGTCGAAAAATAAATTGTTTGGATCCATGTGCCGTTTACTGGTGTGTTCAATGTACCTTGTGTGTTCAATGTACCTTTTTTCATCTGTATGAATGTGTATCAAATTTTTTTCCTGTGTGTGTGTGTGTGTGACCAAACATATAAAACAAAAATACAAATTTCCTTCTCGGTCCATGATCCAACACAATCGATAATTTATTTTTCATTTTTTTTCTTTATTTCATTTTGTGTGGCCTGTGTTTGTTTGTTTGTTTGTTCTGTTTGTTTATTTCCATTTGTGTGTTGTTGTTTTTTTATATTCCCTTTTTTTCTGATCCATCCCTTTTTTTGTGTGTGCTTCTATTTTATCACTCGCTCGCTCATTCACTTACTCATTCACTCTCCATTTTTTTGTGTGTTTGTGTATAAAATAAAAATTTCATTTGATTGATATGGAATGAATCAATTTCATCAAATTCGTCATCACATCATTCATCATCACATCATTTTATTTTGTTGTCACCGCCTTTTTAATTCATTCTCTCTCACTCTCAATGTTTTTTACCATGGATAATTTTTTTTTTCATATTGGGTTACACCCACCGTGTGACCACAACCACCATGCTCACTCTAATCAAAAAAACATCACGACCAAATTTTCACACCATACTATCAACAACAACCAACCAAACAAATAAACAAACAAACAATCAATGAAACAAATAAAATTAATCAAACTAAATAAAAAAAACCAAAAATTAAACAGCCGTAGTGCCTTCAAAAGTGATGAAAGGTAACGAATCAGTGTAATATGATATATGATATGATATGAATTGATGTTGAAAAAAAATCTCCCTTTTTCAATCACTAACGTAGTGAATAAACATTTTTTTTTCATTCCAAATAGTGCTAGTAAATAATAGTTTTCCATTTTAAAGTATGTAATGTAGAAATTAATTCTCGAATGTAGAGAACCGAAAAACTAAATTGTAGCCAAAAAAAAAGTTTCATTTCTTTCAAAAAAAACGAAACGAAACAAGTCAAACTCACCACTCACCACACTATATTATTATACTTTCATCATATTGTCTACATAGAAATCATCATTATCATCGAAAAAAAAATTTGTTTTTTTTCATCATCAACAACAGAAAAAAAAGTATAGCGACTGTGGAAAAGTTGACTTGCCTTTCATTGCATTTCGTTTTTTTTTTAATACCAATATATAAATGATGATGATGACTTTTCACAGCCACTGTATTAGTGTGTTTGCATGCTTGTTTGTTTTTTATGATTCTTAGTAAATTTTTTTTTCGCTTCGCTTCGCATTCAGCTTTTTTTGTTGTTGTTGCCCACCCATTTTGTTTATTTGTTTGTTTGTGTTTTTGTGTGTTTATTGCATGTGCCTATATATATTATAATCAATTTATATGAAATTTATCTGTATTTTTTTTCATTTATTCCACATTTCGGTCTAAATAAATGCGATAAATGCATGCTGTATGTATGTTGAAATCAATGTTTGCCTGGCCTGAGGTTTAATAATAATCTACATTGTTATGCAGCAGCCTAGATTCTGTTTTTTTTCCAAAGATTACAAATTCGTATTTTTTTAGAAAAAAAGAGAAAACTCTTTTTTGTCAATAGACTTTTTTTCGAAAGGGAAAAAAAATTTAAATTGAATTTAGTCAGAATTTCGTTTTTTATTTTTATAATATTCCACCAAAACACGGCCAATTTTTGGATGAAAAATCAAATTAAATCTTTTTTTTCTGAATGAATTAAATTCAGATTAATTTTTGCCATTCCAAATTGTATCTTTCCATGATAATAACTTACGATGATTTTATTCATTTATCATTATTTTCATCGATACGAAAATACTTTGTGCATCTAATCAAATTCACGGAAACTATTGTTAGAAACTAATTATGTAATAATAAAATGAAAAACAGAAAAAAATTTCTTTTTTTGCATTAGGATTTTTTTCTTCTCTCTCTCTCTCTCTCTCTCTCTTTCACTGATTATAATGATTAGGAATATTTGCCAGATATATACAATCAATAAGAATTGGGTAGACATAATTTCTCTTCAATACATCGATTTGTTAAAATAAGTGATAGATTACTCTACTACTATTAGATAATAACAACATGTTATTAGTAATCATCAATTAATTTATTCATTCATCAATCAACGTATTCAGTAATGATGTTGAAAAAGTATATGTTCACACACACACAAAAACTTATTCGATTCTGAAAACTTATTAGCAGAATATTCTTTACAAATCTAATTTCTTCATTTTCATTATCATCAAATGAAAATGATCATGTTTCTGATATTTATTCATGATCTTCATTTGTTTTTTTTTTTTTTTTTTCTATTTTATCTTTTCTATTCAAAATTTCTTATTCCAATATTCATTTTATTTCCTTTTAACGAATCGTAATTTTCAAATTTTGATTTAATATCGAAATTTAATTATTCACACTCATGGATGATGTGTTTTCGACTTTTTTTTGTCGTGATTATTTCTTTACTGGTTCATCGTTTATTTTGTGTCAATTTTCCATCAACATCAACTTTTATCATCCAAATCATCATCATCATTGAATAAATTAATTTTATTTTTTATCGGCCAATAATTATAAATAAATAAAACGTCAATATTGTTGAAATTCACATTGCCTTTTCATCAATATTCATGATCCGCTTCTCTCTATTTGTGTGTGTATGTTGGAATGTTGTTGTTATCGTTCGTCATATGTCAAATGTGAAATTTTGACATTGTTTTTTTTCACTGCTGGAAATTCCATCCAAAATTGTGATTGTGATGTGATTTTCTTGGATCCTTGATAAATTTGAAACACTTTATCTTTTTCAATAATAATAAATGAATCGATCCAATCAACAATCAATTATTTTTATTGGAACCAATCATTTTTGGTTGATCGATATGAATCAACGAAATAAACAACAACAACAACAACAACAAAAAACAATCAACAAACAGGATTCTCACGAGCCACTTATCTACATTCAAAAATTAAAAACAAAGGAGCTTGTAAAGCCTTCTGGCGACATGAAAAACGTTTTCGGTATGTACTAATGAAACAAACTATGGAAAGACTGGATTTTTGTTTTTTAAACAAAATTTTAAAATGACAGTTCATGTTTAAATATCATTCAAACTATTTTGAAATATTTTTATCGCTATAATTATTCACTGTTTATATGATTGTTTTCATCTTATTTCATGACCAGTACAGAAAAAAAATGACGCACGAACATTGAACATTGTTTTCTTTTTTTAGTCCATTTATTGACATTATTATAGACTCCTGACATTCCGAATTTGTTCCAATCGGTTTTTTTTCTCTATTCTCTTCTGTTCTGTTTTCTAGCTTTGTTTATATTGTGTCTGGGCTTTGATTCTATATATATCATTAGCAGCAGCAGCAGCAGCAGCATGAGGATTCATAAAATCAGTGTGTGTATGGATAATGACGAAAATTTTTTTTTTCGCTCTTTCGTCATTCAATTCGTCATAAACTTTTGTATCTTTTTTTAGTTTTACCGTCATTCGTTCTAATGAAAAACTTTTTTTTTTCACATTTTTATATCCAACAAAAAAAAAGTAATCAAATAGAATGAAGAATCAATATTTTCGTGGTTTGATGACGATAGTGGTGAATTACGTTAAGCTAATCAGCTATTTTTTTATTATTCAGTTTTCTGGCCAACAACAAAATCAGAAAAACAACCACGTTTTTTTTGTACTCATCAATCATCTATATATATTTTTCAGGAATGTTAAAAAAATTGTTGTTGGTGATGAAAATATGAAAAACTGGGATTTTTTTTTCATTTCTGAAATTGAAATAATACACATGATGGTCACCATCATCTATATATCATTATTATCATGGTGTGTATATTGATGAAAAATGAAATTTAGAAACAAACAAACAAACAAAAAAAAATAGTAATAATAATAACATGGCTAAATTGAAATTGAAATGGAAAAAATAAGGTCACGCTAAGTAGCCATATTTTTGACAGAAAGAAAATAAACGGTTCTTGTCTGTTTATTCGTCATCCGATCTAGTTTTCAGTTTCACAATACTATACTATACTATAGCAGCACTACAGAGAGACCCGAATAATAAATTGCATCGAGAATCATAAATTGATGTTTGCAAGAAAGCATTAGTTTAATTTCTAGTTATGCTTTCATCTTTGAAAATAATCAGGAATTCCGTTTTTTTCTTGTTTCGAGATTTTATGTTTTAAAAATTTTGGTCATTCTATGTCGATGCCGCCTCTTTTCTTTTATTGATTTTACTTTTATTCTAGGCCTAGACATAAAAATGATATCATTTCTGACCCAGATACTATCAAATTTCAAAAATAAAACAATTAGAATTGATTTTATCGATTACAACATGAAATTTATCGATAATTTGTCATTTTAATTTGATCATTTGTGATACGCATAATCGTGTTGAAAACCAATTTTTTTTTGGCCTGTTTATCAATATTTAACTAGTGTCTATTTTTTTGATCTTTATAATTTATTTATATATTCATCTTTTAAATCAAACAATTTTTCGTTTTGCTGATAATATGAACTTGTTCTTTAAAAAAAAACTGAATAATGATCTTAGATGATGATCATGATCATCTCCATCATCTCATTCGTTCATAATGATTCAGAAAATTTTTCTTTCGGTTGAAATTCATTCATTTGTTCAATTGCAAAAGAAGAAAAAAAACATTTAAATTCAATGAAAAACTGTGTATTCACACCATTAGAATAAAAAAGAAGAAGAAAAATCTTGAAATGTTTCGTTTGTTCAAAAAAAAAAAAAAAAAATTTCTCTTTTTCTTTCTGTCACATCTTGTAACATTCTTTGTCAAACGTTTTCGACATTTTACATTCACATTCACATTCATTGTCGTTGGCTGTTGTTGTTGTTGTTGTTCAGTTGTTGTTTTGTCTGTCAGAATCCAAAATTTGATGAAAAATGAATATAAATAAAAATGAAAATAAAAAAAAATTCGAGCCATGTTTATTTGAAAATGTTTTTTGCCTTCTGCATTGTTTGTTGAGTGAAGAAAATTTGTCATTTTTCAAATAAGATAATTTTCAGTGGCGGCTGCGGTGATATTTTCATTTTGTTCCGACTTTTTTTTTTTTACTTCTCTTTGCCACTTTCACATGGTTGTCTTGTTCTTTATTTTGTTTTCATAAACACATGACAAATTGAACATGATGATGAAAGAATTCATGGTGATGAAGGAATAAACTTGTCCATTAACTTTTCATTATCATCATTATCATTATTCTTTCTTTCAAAGTTTGTATTTAGTTATTTGACTTTTTCTTCCCCAAAAAAAAATTTGTGGTCGACCAAATATAAAAAAATAGAGACAATACACACACACACACACACAAACATTCTGATTCATCATCAATTAATAATAATTTTTTTATATTCATTAATTTTATTCATTTTTTCCCACTATCATCATTATTATCGTTGTTGTTGTTGTTGGTGTTTCCGTTATTCGTAATCAACAACAACAACAACAACAGTCCAACAACAAAAATGGTTGATTACAATTATCAAAATGAATGATGATAAAAATAAACCAGGTTGAAAAAAAGTATTGAAATGTGAACAAAAAATAATTAAAAAAAACTCAATGGCACGGGTTCTATGATTTTTTTTTATCTGGCACCAAATTCTTTATTACTTTACTATTCATTTTCCAAATTCTGATGATTCTGTTACTTGTAAATTCATTTTTGTTCATTCACATAATCCAAAAAAAAAAAAAAAACTTAAACATCATCATTTTTCTTCTTAATTCTTTAGTTGAATTCTCATTTTTTATCATTTAAACTTTTTTTCATTTCATTGCTTTTACCTTCTCTTAGGATCAGTCATGAAATTTTTTTTTTGTTTCGACAATTCTTTCCGTACGATTCTTGTTGGGTTTATCGACCCCAAAAATATCTTGTGTGCCTCGGTTTTTTTACCCGAAAATGCTTTACTTCTGGGAGATTGGGCTTCCAATAAAACTCACACCACACACACACACACACACACGTTTACATAGATGTGTTGGCATATATAAAGTTGTGTTGGTTTATTTCATATCATCATCATGTTGGAACTTTTTTTTCTATTATCTCCTACTTGTATACAACAGACAATTTGCTTTTCATTTGCAAGATTCTTCTTCATTTCATCTACACACATGTGTATTAGATAAATTTTCATTGAACATTTCATTTGTGAGTCGATGCAAACCTTTTTTTTGGAATGATTGTGAACCAAAAAAAACAGGTCAAATTACGGTGAAAATACCAACTGAGACTGTGTGTTCGTGTGTTTATTGATGTGTCTGTTCGGTGGAAAATGTGGCCAAAAACAGATGCGCACAAACACACTGTGTTTTGAATTGAATCATTTCATTTCCACATACATGCCAATAGACACAAAGTTCTTGTCCGCTTTAAAAGTTTATCGGCAAATTTTTTGTTTCGGAATTTATTCACATATACTACCGAAAAAAATGGATAATGTGAATGACAATGATTCGAAAATGAACCAAAAAAAAAAAAAAAAAAAAATCCCGCACATTTGTATGCATGTATAGGTTTGGTTAATTTTCATTTTTTTTTTTTTGGTCCGTTTTTTTTTTTATTGGTGGATGCTTGATTTGTTGGACATAGAGGAAATGAAACAAAACAAAACAAAAAAGTTTCCGTCTTTTAGTGGATTTTTTTTTCTTGACAAGAATTTACGCTTGTTTAGTTTGGCTATATTATGACTTTTGTATGGAAAAAAAGAAACTTTTTTCCATTTTTTTTTCTTAATGATTATTATCCTGGTTAAACATAATGATTATAATAATAGGTATATATATGGCTGTATTCGAAAAATAAAAGAAACTTGGCCATAATTTATTGGTTTGTAAGAAGAAGAAGAAAAAAAAAAGGAGAATTGAAATTCTAAACAAACAAACCGGAAAACAAACTTGTTTCGTATGATTTGTGTGTGTGTGTGTGTGACCATTCATAAATAGAATTTGTTTGGAATTTTTTCTGTTTCATTTTTTTTGTTTAAGTTGCTTAAATTGTTCATTCAAACATTTTTGTTGTTGTTTTGTAGTAAGAAACTTTCAAGAAGATATTTTTTTCACAACTTTATGGAAAAATTCACCAAATTTTTTATCGATCTCTTGAATTAAATAACTTTTGAATTCTTAAATTTGTTTGCGTGTATTACGTGATGAATATATAAAGTTTATTTTCTTGAATTGGAAATAAAAAAAAACAGTAATATTCTGTGGTCTTGTCTGATCTGTGTCTGTAGTTGACGAACAACAACAGTAATAATGTAGAATGTCATTTAGAATTCATTGCATGTATTTATTTCATTACATTCCAATAACAAAAAAACACAAAACATCATCGTTGATCGTTAATAGTTTTTTTTGTTGTAAACTTTATGACTGAAAAAAAAACTCGAATGTTTTAATGATCAACATATACCGGTGTTGAATATGATATATGTCAATCATTCATCATTCATTCGTTTTAAGGTTTTTCTGATTTTTGTCCTTTCCATTCAATCGTTGTCATATGTGTTCATTAAACTAAATAAAGAAATCTTAAATTATTCAAACTGACCGACGTGTGAATTTTTTGTCTAATGAGATAATGATTGGATCTAATTTTCCATTCATTTTTATTTCATATAGATTGGCTGTTCGTCGTGGCATCAAAACTCAAGCATTCTATTGGTTCGTTATATTGCTCGTTTTTCTCAACACTGCCTGTGTTGCCGTCGAACATAAAGGCCAACCAGAATTTTTGACCCAATTTCTATGTATGTATTTTGATTGAAAATTTTTACATTTGAATTGATTTTAAAATCATATACATTCTTTCTATTTGATTAGATATTGCCGAATTTGTTTTTCTTGGTTTATTCAACTGTGAAATGTTGATAAAAATGTATGCACTTGGTTTGAAGGAATATTTTTCATCTGCATTCAATCGTTTTGATTGTATGGTCATTATTGGTTCAATATTCGAAGTGATATGGTCCGAATTTAAAGGTGGTTCATTTGGTTTCTCTGTTTTGCGTGCACTTCGTTTGTTACGTATATTCAAGGTTACCAAGTAAGTAGAGAAAAAAAATGTTTAGATTTTCCTTTTTTTTTTTGCTTATTCATAAATATCGATATTTATGTAAATGTTTCTTTTTCTCAATAAATTAGATATTGGTCATCATTACGAAATTTGGTCATCTCATTACTTGCCTCAATGCGTTCCATTATATCATTGCTTTTTCTATTGTTTTTATTCATTTTAATATTTGCCTTACTTGGCATGCAATTGTTTGGTGGTGCATTCAATTTCGAGGATGAAACACCGGCTGCCAATTTTAATACATTTGCCATTGCACTATTGACCGTATTTCAAATATTGACCGGTGAAGATTGGAATGAAGTAATGTACAAAGCAATTGAATCACAAGGCGGTATACATCATGGTGGAATGATTTACAGTGTCTATTTTATTATTCTTGTATTGTTTGGCAATTATACATTATTAAATGTCTTTTTGGCTATCGCTGTGGATAATTTGGCCAATGCACAAGAATTGACAGCAGCCGAAGAAGAAGAAGCTGAAGTGGACCGTGAACGAGAAAATCAAGAATTGGATATAATAAAATCAAAAGATGATGTACCGGCTGTTAATATTTGTCCACCGTCACCACTTGGTGGTGGCGCTGGTAAATCTGGTAGCCGTAATGATTTAGCTAAAATTGAATATGAATTAGTTAAAGTTAAAAAGAAAGACGATGATGATCTATTCGAAGAGGAAGAGGAACCTTCCGGCCCGAAACCAATGCTTCCATATTCTTCCATGTTTATATTTTCATCTTCAAATCCAATACGTGTATTTTGCCATTTTGTTACAAATATGAAATATTTTGATGCTTTTATTATGGTTATTATAACATTAAGTAGTGTTGCATTGGCTGCTGAAGATCCAGTGGATGAAAATGCTTACATTAATAGTATTCTTAGTAAGTGAACAAAACAAAACAAAAAAAATTTTCTCTGTGTTCAATTATTTCATTATTTTTTCATCCATTGATCACATATATAGTCTATTTTGATTATGCATTCACTGGTGTTTTTGCCATCGAAATGCTTTTGAAAGTAATAGATCAAGGAATCTTTCTACATCCTGGATCGTATTGTCGAGATTTTTGGAATATTCTCGATTCTATTGTCGTTATTTGTGCACTTTGTGCGATTGCTTTTACATATCTGTAAGTTGTCAGCCAATAATCAATCTAATCTTGTTTGAAAAAAATTTTCCTTTTTCTTGTCATTTTTTTTATAGCGGTGATGCAAGCCCCGGCACAAAAGGTGCTGCATCCAGTCTCAGTGTAATCAAATCATTGAGGTAATTTTTTTAATTTTTTTTTCATTAATGAAACGAACAATTCATCCATCCATTTCACATCACTTAATTGAATAGAGTATTGCGTGTACTACGTCCATTGAAAACGATCAAACGTGTACCAAAACTAAAAGCCGTATTCGATTGTGTCATTACATCGTTGAAAAATGTCTTTAACATCCTTATAGTTTATATGCTCTTTCAATTTATTTTCGCTGTGATAGCTGTACAATTATTCAACGGTCGTTTCCATTATTGTACAGATGAATCGAAATTATTTGAAGAAGAATGCCAGTAAGTGATTTTGTTTTGTTTTGTTTTTTTTCGGTATTAGTAGAATTTTCATTTTGAAATCTAATTTTCTACTATTTTTTTTATCAAAACGTTTTTCTTAGTGGTGAATTTTTCATCTTTAGCTCATCACATGAACCACCACAAGTTAAAAAACGGGTTTGGGATCGTAGACAATTTCATTATGATAATGTTATTGCTGCAATGCTGACATTGTTCACCGTACAAACTGGTGAAGGATGGCCCACGTAAATCTAATTTTTTTCTTTTACTAACCTAATTGTATGCTAATTTTGGTTTTCCAATTCCGTTTATCAAATAATAGTGTTTTACAACATTCAATGGATGCCGTATACGAAGATCATGGTCCATTGCCTCGTTTTCGTATTGAAATGTCACTGTTTTATGTCATATTCTTTATTGTCTTTCCATTTTTCTTTGTCAATATTTTCGTGGCCTTAATCATTATCACCTTTCAAGAACAAGGTGAAAAAGAGCTTGAAGAAGGCGAACTAGATAAGAATCAAAAATCATGTATTGATTTTGCTATACAAGCCAAACCATTACAGCGATATATGCCAAAAGATAAAGATTCATTAAAATATAAAATATGGCGTGTAGTTGTGTCGACAGCATTCGAATATTTTATTATGGTTTTGATTGTATTGAATACAATATTACTCATGATGAAGGTAAGTTGTTGATGTTTTTTCAATTATTTTTTTTTTTTTGCATAAACTCAAATATAGTCTCTACAGACCCTTTTGTTGAATGTTTTTGTTGAATGCAAAACCAAAAACCAAAAACCAAAAAAAAAATTGCATCTTTATCAGAACAAAACAACACACCTTGCATTATTAATTGTGAATGGCTTTTCTTATTAATCGCACAGAAAAAATGTAGAGAAATTTTTTTTTTTGCATCCGTTGAATGAATAAACAAACCAATAGAATTAACATTGCATCCATATATCCATATAGCTTTTATGCATGTAAAGTAAATTTTTTTTTTCATTGTAAATGCATTTTTAGCATCCCTTTTATTCATCCATTATATGTGTAGATTAATTATATACTACTCATCTGTGTGTGTGTGTGTGTGTATGTGTATTTAGCTGTCAAACACACAAACAAAAATTCATCAGCATGCAAAATTCTAGTTAATATAATATATCCCGTTCTATTCTGCACTAGAAAACATATATACGTTTTATTGTTAAAAAATTTATATTAATTTGACATTACACAATAAGAATATATTGATTGATTGATTGATTATCAATTTATCATCATCCCAGCAATAAATTTCCCAATTTTTATATATAAATATGTGTGTGTGTGTGCTATATTGTTGCAATATTGAACAAAAATTTTCTCTCTCTCTCTTTTCTCTTCCTTTCTTTTCCGTGAATCTTTGAATCCATTTTCTATGAATATGTACACAATTCATTTATGTTTGGGATGTTGTTGTTGTTGTTGTTTTGTGTTCATTCACTGATTCAATTTTACAATTGAATATCAATCCATCAACTATTGTTATCATTGTTTTTTTTCAATACATAAAAACAAAAACAACAAATTCATCAAACAACCAACAAACATTATGATGATCTTCATTATTGTAGTATTATAAACAAAGTAATGAATACAAGTTAACATTACAATATACAAATGCCACATTCACTGCCTTATTCACCTTGGAATGTATGTTAAAGATAACCGCTTTTGGCTGTAGGGTAAGTTTTTTTTTCATTGTTCTCCATTGTTTTGGAATTGGATCATCCAGAAAAAAAACTGACATCGGCACATCATTCATAAACACACACACCCACATGAATACACGAATACAAAAACAAAACAAAAAAAAAATTGGCCAAAATCTTGTTGCATATTTGCTATTTTGATCTATGGAGAAAAAGATTTTTTTTCCGAAACAAAAAAACAGAATTGCATGATGAAACAAAAAATAATGATAATCCTTTATTTATGAACCTTCTATGAGTGCAAAATATCCGTGGTATATCTATATTGATGCATATATATGTGATGATTACCGTATGATTCACATTTGATTTAGTAAATCAGGTCATATATCATAATCAATTCTAATTCATTGAAATCATTATTTTTCTTTCACATCATTCATCATCTTCATCATCATCATGGCCATAATTTCGTTTTTATTTTTATAGTATCATCAAGCTGATATCTACTATACGGATGCATTAACATATACCAACGAAATATTTACATTCCTATTTCTTGTGGAATGTATATTAAAAATGATTGCGCTTGGCTGCAAGGTTTGATAATGATTGATTTATATATGATTAATTTTCTACTAGGAAAAAGAAAAAGAAAACAGAATTGGCCAATTAATAATGTTCAGTCAGAATAATATAATAAATTCAAATACGCAAATACACACACCTACATCTCCAGACAAAAATGATTGTTTTTTTTCATGTATAAATTCTTATTATTCCCTGTGTTTTTTTTCTTCAATTCCTTCTCAAACATTACACGTACACCCACAATAAAAAAATAATCATCATAAATTTTAGAATTTTTTCAAAGATTCATGGAATACATTTGATTTCATTACCGTTTGTGGAAGTGTTGTCGATGCATTGGTCATGGAGATAACATTTAGTGCTGTCAATAGCAAGGTGAGTAGAACAAAAAAAAAAAAATTATTTCTCGGAATTGAAATTTTATTCTTTTCCACAACATACAGGATTTTAATTTCATATCTGTCGGTTTTTTACGACTATTTCGTGCTGCACGTTTAATTAAATTATTACGACAAGGTTATACGATTCGTATATTGCTTTGGACATTTATACAATCATTCAAGGTATGTGTCATTCATGAATGTCATATTTTTGAAATTATTTTTTTTCACTTTTTTTTTAATCACAATATAGGCCTTGCCATATGTTTGTCTATTGATTGCCATGTTATTCTTCATCTATGCCATTATTGGCATGCAGGTATTTTTTTTCCCATCATTTCATTTATTTCACATTTTTTTCAATTTTGCATGGTTCACCTTATAGAATAATATATGCATGCATATTCTTCATATAATATTTCACCTTTGATTTTAATCAATCATTTTTTCCCCATTTATTAATTGGTTGGTTTCTATTTAGAAAATAGGGATAAGTTTTATCTGGATAAAGTTTAGATTTAGAATTGCTCCTCTCTCTCTCTATCTATAAAAAAAATTATCAATTAATCAGTCTAATTCTTTTTACATATTTCATGGCTCTTTCTTTTTTTCCGCTAAATTTTCTTTCTCTCTCTCTCTCTGTCTCTTTATCACTATGAATCATCTATCACAATCATTCTATATGTACAAAAAAAAACAATTGAACAAATCACTACTTTTGGCACCTGAAATTTTTTCAACATTTAAAATGAAAAAAAACTTCACTTTTGATTGCTTTTTTTTCTGGATTGTCACTTTATCACAATACAAAACAACACACGCACACACACACATTCATTCACATTGTGTCAAAACGTGTATGTGTGTGGTGTGCATTTTTTATTCGTTTTTTTTCACACTATTTTTTTTCTTTGGTATGCTTGACCGGAATTGAACAAAACTTTCACTTTATATTTGTGTTTTTTATGTGTTTATGTGTGTGTGTGTGTTCAATTTATGTGCATTTTTTTCTCACAATTTGTGCTATTGCTTCTGCTTCTTTCATCTTGTGTGTGTGTGTGTCAATAAAATTCCGATGATGATGATAATGATTTGGCAAAAAAAAAAAAAAAAAATTACAATCGGAATTATCTTTTGAACAAAAAAAAATTCCAAAGGTTTTTGGAAACATGGATTTTGCACCTGATTCGGAAATAAATCGACACACCAATTTTCGCACATTTGCACAATCGCTTATATTGTTATTTAGGTGAGTGATTTTTTTTTCATTATTCAATTAACGTTTCAAAAAATGAAATTTTTTTTCTTGTTTTTGTTTTGCTTTTTCATGAGCATTGTTTCGTGTTGTTGTCATATACAAATCATTTCAATTGTGTGTTCTACATTCACCGACATCAATAATGATGATGATGATTGATACATATTTACATACAAACACAGAATTGACAATTTGAGATGGATAGATTAATCAATCAATCAATGTGTATTGTAAACACATACATACACAATTTCAATTACAAAAAAGAAACAAAATCAAAATTTCACACACAAAATCACTTTTTGCATCTCAATTTTTTTTCTCTCCACATTTTGTTTTCATTAGTTTGTTTGCCTTTTTTTTGTCTGTGTAGCACGTTCGTGTGTTTATGTTTCTCGATTTTCATTTATCAGCTTGTGTTTTGCTTTTGTTTTTTTCTTTTGTCTTTTTAATTTTAATTTTCATCGACATTTTTCAATCAAATTAATCGGAAATTTAAAAAAAGAATAATCAAGATGCGCCAAGCGATTTTATTTCAGAATCAGATGTTCATCAACCAATTTACTCGATTTTCCTGATTTTTTCTTATCATTATGCTTGAATTTTTCTTTATTTTTGAATATTTTTTTTCAAAACAAAAAGACCCTAAATTTTTTGTTATGTTTAGGTTTTCGGTAATATAGCCATCGGTACTGAATTCAACCCTGATTCTAGTTTAACTCGTCACAACAATTTTCGTACATTCATTCAAGGATTAATGTTGCTCTTCAGGCAAGTTTGTTTCTACTACAATTGAACAACGATGACCATTGGAATGTTGTTTAATGTTTATTTATATTGAAAAGTGACACTCTCACATAACAAATGAATACAAAACATATTCTCATAAACAAAAAATTATCGGTGAAAAAAAAACAAAAACAAAACACGAAACGTTTCATACTTGAATCATCATCAATTTTAATTTTCCAAGGATCATAAACAATTGTCTGGTTTACGAAATTAATTTTCAACATTTTTTTTCTCATGTCTCCCAACCCGATTTTTTCAAAAATCCGTTTAGATGCGCAACTGGTGAATCATGGCAAGCAATCATGTTATCTTGTCGATCTGGTCGCCCATGTGATCCAAAAGCTAGACAAAATGAATCACAAAAGGATAGCTGTGGATCCGATCTGGCCTATTCATATTTTGTGACATTCATCTTTTTCTGCTCATTTTTGGTTAGTGTGAATTAATATCAATTTTATAATATTCATATTTCCAATGAATATTCTGTATATATTTCAATAGATGTTAAACTTGTTCGTTGCTGTCATTATGGATAATTTTGATTACTTAACACGTGATTCATCAATTTTGGGCGCACATCATTTAGATGAATTTATTCGTGTTTGGGCTGAATATGATCCAAACGCTACTGGTTATATCCATTATTCTGAAATGTATGATATGTTACGTAATATGGATCCACCGTTAGGTTTTGGTAATAAATGTCCATATCGTTTGGCATATAAAAAATTGATACGAATGAATATGCCTGTAACTGAAGATGGCAAAGTGAATTTTACGACAACATTGTTTGCACTTATACGTGAAAATTTAAGTATTAAAATGCGTCCAGCCGAAGAAATGGATCAAGCTGATAAAGAATTGAGACATACATTGGTCAAATTATGGCCATTACAAGCGAAAAAAATTATCGATAAATTAGTACCACCAAATTATGAACTTCGTAATGGTCGTTTAACAGTTGGTAAAATTTATGCTGGATTTCTGATATTAGAAAATTGGAAGACAACTAGATTCGGACAGATACCTGGTGTTGGACTTACGGTATGTACAATATGTTTGTTGATGAAAAAAACACAGAATATTCTGTTTCTGTTATCGAATTAATTTTAGTCTAGTAGTTAATTTCCTAAATGTATTTCCTTTCATTTCCTACTAAAAGAATCAATTAAGTATTTAAATTTTAAAAAAACCATTTTCCCGTATTACATTGTTGCCCGTTTGGTAGATAACCTGAAAGAAAATATCCTCTTAAAATCACCCAAAAAAAAGTTACCATAGCCTGTTTATTTTCAATCAAAGATACAAGAAAAAATATTCCTGACATGTTTGATACCTCCGTTACCTTTCCTGTGAATTTGAACGGATTTAAATGGATGAATTGTTTTTTTTTTTCGTTTTACTGGTTCATGTTTGTTTTTTTTCAATTATTGACATTGATCTTTTCATGTTTTTTTTTGCATATTTGTACATTGATTCAATGAAAAATAGTATTAGCTAATTTGTTCGTAAATAATCAACCAAACAAATCCATCAAATGCCAGGTCAAATGATCAAACGGTGTATTTGTCAGGGTTTATATATCTCATTTATAGCTTTTAAGAAATACAAACAAACAAATTCATATGCCAAATAGAATATCAAATGATTCTATTTGCATTTGCCAAAAAACAAAACAAAAAAATGGCTAAAGAAAAGTTTTTCAATTCAGTTCAATTTAACCGAACCAATACGTGAAAGTTCCCGGTCAGGACATTATAGCCAACATGATTATCATCAACAAAATGGACAAGAAGAATCCAATCATAATAATGCTGATGGTCATCATCATCAAGATGAAACAAAGACGGTAATATATGATTGTTATCTCTTCACACACACACACCCTTATTTATCTCTCTCTAATTCACATTGTTTATATGAATCTCGAAATGATAAAAATTTATATAATTATGAAATTGGCAAAAAAAAGAAATAATTTCACCGTTTCAAAAAAAAATTCACACATGTCGCACATGTGTGTGTATGTTTATATTCTCTCATCGTCTTATCGTGCAGAATGACTATCGTTTTTTTTTTTTCATTATTGTCCGTTTCTGTCCACACGTTATTGAACACCAAATCACTAAAATTCACCGCATAATAATCAATCAGGACAGATTAATTAATCAATTAATCGATATTTTAGGTGCACTAGGATTATAAATACTTATATAATAATAATATTCTGTAGGCTAAAAATCATTTTTTTCAAGCTTTTTTTTCAATTCAATCACTGAAAGCTTTTTTTTCTATGTTAATATAATTGATGATGATTAATATTCGTTCAAACATTCAAAATTGTTTGACAGCTGAAATATATACTTCAAGTACAACAAACACACACACACATTCAAAGTACGGATTTGTTTGGCTGTTTTTCTTCATCGTTTATTTTATTCTTTTCAAATCACATGTTTTGCATGTTTTTCCATTTTTTTTCAATATTCATCATTCAATTACCCATTAGTTGCATGTGATCATGGAAAAGCATGTTTATCTTGTGCACACATACACACACACACACACACACAAACAAACAAACAAAATCATGTCCATTGATTCATGGCCTCTGAAATGTCATCGAAATTTATTTGTTCTGGATGTTGATGAATTGTGTTTGATATGATGATTGATAGTTTTCTTTACCGTCATAACAATCGTGACATAATTTTGAATGAAAATAATGATCCAAAAATTTTGTTTGAATCTAATCTCGTAACCGGATTGATTTTGCATCTTGTTTTTCAAAAAAAATGTTCCATAATGATTAATAATGAATTGTTGCTTGAACACTGTCTATCGGATTGTCTTGTGATTCATTCGCTCAAAAATTTGCTCGTTTCTCTCTCTCTCTTTTGTCCTTGTGTCGTTTATTGTCATCAAAATTTTTTTTTCTGACCGATAAATTGTTTCTGATTTGCTTCATCGATGTTTTATTTTGAAATAAAGCGGCCATCATTACTTCAACGTTTAATGGGTGCTGTACGTAATCAAAATCTACCACCAGAAGAACAAAATTTCGACGAAATGGGTATCCACCCGAGAAAAGGATCACTCAAAGATCATGGGTAATTTTCATTGATGAAAAATGACTTGTTTCTAATAAATTGTATCTTATTTTTTTTTGTCTAGTGATGACAACAAATTAGAAAAAACATTCAGCTTTATACGACGTGGTTCAAGTCGAAAACACAAGGATAAACATTCACATGATGATGAGGTTTGAATTCGATCGAGCAAACAAAAAAAAAATTTTCTCTTTATGATGATTGGGTGAAATTAATTTGACTTTAATTTCGCGAAATTTGGTTATTATTGAAAAGCTTGGAAATTGTGGTTTTGGACTATTGTTTTTCATTCATCATTGTTCTATTGCGATGCAAATTGATCTAATTCAATATTTCATTGAAAAAGCCATAGTGAAAGGAGAAAAGTAATGAAATGGCCCCCCTTGGTTTAGTGACACACCGACACACACACACATATATATATAAAACACCAGAGTACACCCCTTTTGTAAACGTTTGCACTTTTTTATCTATTATCTATCACTTTATCACTATAATTTTAATTTAATTGCCAAAATCATCAAAAGTGTCAAAATGTTGAACAATTATCTTACATTAGGAATTTGAATTGGTTCCAAGGTATCATCGACAAGCATCTTTACAATTAAGTAATGAACAGAGCGATATGCAGAGTAAAAAAGATTATCTTTGTATCAATGAAAAAAACGATGGTGGTGGAAATAAAGCACGACGATCAAGTTCAATTGTTCATGCTATTGTTCATGATAGACTATCACAACGGCAAGATCTAGTAGTAGTTAATCAACAACCATCATTTCTGATGGTTACTGGTGGTGGTGGTAAACACTCAAACAAGAAGAAACAATCACCAACTTCTTCACAAATATCGGTATCAACATCATCATCATTACGAGGCAGACCATTATCACAATTGACGATTAAATCATCAACGAATTCAATTGACGATTCTAGTCATACTCAATTACAACAGAAGCGTCTACAACGTTCTTGTTCGACTAATTTCCCGAACAAATCATCATCATCCAAACAGATATGTGAAGATGGAAAACAATGTGATGTCATTCTAATGCGAACATTTAGTGCAAAATGTGGCAAGAATAACGATCAACCACAACAATATTCAAATGATGATAATGATACAAAGAAGAAGAATCATCGAAAAACAAGGCGTCAAAGACACGGTGGCAATTCTTCATTAAAAAAAATGAAAAACATAGATAATTCGACGACAATATCGACGACGACGACGACTACAAGTAGTAGCAAAACTAGTTGTGATGATGAGGATGATAAAAATATCGAAGTGAGTTTAATATGGCTTACTTAGTTTTGATCGAAAATGCAAAATTAATAAATAAAAAAACTTTAGGCCACGCTTCAAACACTAATGTTCAATGTTTTTTTCCTCTTTCCATATATCTATGTCGCTCTCACAAACCAAAATGTCAAAAATCAAGCAAATCAAATGCTTTTTTTAAATGAATATGTAATGTAAATTATTGTTATGAAAATCACCAAAACCTTCAACACAAAAAAAAAAACCAATTCAACGCTGTGTTCTGTGAGATATTGTGGTGTGTCGCACAAATTCCAAGCTTATCTCTCCAATTCCTGCTTCAATGCGCCGCTTTTTTTTATAAAAAAAACCATGACAAAATTTTATTTTATCTTTTAACTTGATCAAATTTTTTTTATAAAATTTTTAGTTTATCATTGATTTATCTAAGAAATTGAACTAATATTTGTCTTTCGATTTTCATCTTTAATTATTTGGTTGTGGCATTTAATATCAAAAAAAAAAAAAAAATAAATATAGGAGGCTGGTGTTGTTAGTGCATTAGCACATCTTTCCACACATTTACATCCAGATTCGAATCGTAGATCATCATTTCGGCGGCGTCGATCACGTTCACGTTCACCATCGGTACATCCACAACGTCCAGCATCACCATCGACTACTGCAGCTTATACTGAAGATGAAACCACAAAATCATCACAACCACAACCGATCTCCAGTATTAGTAAAAGTGATGCAGGCGAAACAACAGTTACAACGACTGCAGCAGCAACAACTGCCGGTATCAGTGGTGGCACTATTAGTGATGCACCACCTGTTTGTGACGTTTATTCTGCTTCTGCTGCTGCTGATCAATCTAATGATGGTGAACCCAAATCACCTTCTAAACCACCAGATTCACTTGGTTTTGCTGATACTGTTACGGATTTGGTTGGAATTGTCAAATATGAAACATCGAGAAAAGGTCGAGCTAAATGTAAATAAATTTTATCATGAAATGTATATGTTTATTTAATAATTTTTTATTTTCCAGCCAAAATCCGTTCTACAAATGAAGATTTCAGTTCACCAACGGTTCCAGCTGGTGGTTTAGTCCGCCATGGAAGTCATCGTCGTCCATCTTATCGTTATCGTGAACCATGGCGTGGTCCAAGACCAGAAGATCAAGGTCCTAGTGAACCATTGTTTCATTATCCACATTCGAAACAATATTATATGCAACGATTACGACAAGCTCAAGAAAATGATGAATTTGGTCAACATAGCCCATCTAGTTCAATGGAATATCGTTCACATAGTTCTCGTATGGATTTAGATCGTCCTAGTCGAAGTCCTAGTCCACATCCTTTGGTAATTATTGAAAATTTATTTTATTTATTTAATAATATTCACCAATAACGACATCAATCATTTCAGGATCAAACAAAAACTGAGTATTATGGAACTACAAAACTTGAACAACGATCACGTTCGCCAAGTCCAACATCACAAGCTCAACAATCATCATCGATTCCATTCCAACAGCTTCGCCGTTTTCCCAGTAGATTTTTGAATGGAGCTAAACGACGATTGTTGCCCACAACACCAGGAAATTTGCCAAAAAGTTTAGATCCATCTGCTCAAATCAATTTTCCATTGGTTTCACATTCACCAACGATACCTAGTCGAACGCCTGCAACAATAAATTTTCCAAAACTCAATGCTTCACCAACACATTTTTCAAAAACTACGGGAGCTTTTCTTTTGGATCCGGATCAACAACAACAAATGGCCATACAAGCAATGATGATGGATCCATCACAACAACAAATGCAACAGCAACATTCTATTGATCCATATCAAATGGGCCAACAACAAATTTCTTTGGATCAACAACAACAACAACAACAACAACAATTCGTCCAACAACAACCACAGCAGACTGAACAACAACAACAAACACAATCGATTGGAGCTAGTATTTCATCATTGTTAGCACCGTTTCGGATGTTTGGTAGCCGAACCAGTGGTTTACAACGACAACAACAACAACAACAGCAGCAAAGCAGTCAGCAACAAGCTGTTGTTGGTCCAATTACCCAACAACCTCAACAATTTCCTGTTATTCAACACACTCAACAACAACAACAACAGCCAATGTTGAATCCGATTCCTGCCCCAACCGTTATGCTTAAACGTGGTCTTCCACAACCACCTGGATCCAGTTTATTATCACAACAGTCTGCATTACAAACATGGCCAGAAGAAGATACAACAACAATCACTGCCACAATTCATCATGGTCATCATCAATCACAGCATACGATTGAACCACAGCCAAGTAGCTCATATCAATCCAATTATACGGATGAGAATCTTCTTGGTACTGGCAGTAGTTCAGCAAGAATGTTACCATCTACAACAGCACAATCTCAGCCACAATCATCACAGCCAACTGGTACATCAGGAATTCATTTAATGATGCTTGAACAGCAAAGACGTCGAAATCGTATGAAACATTTCCGTTCATCTACTTGGGCTGATGATCATCATCATAATCAATATGGTCAACAATTTCAAACAGAAGATAGCTATGGTATGACTGTTCCACCATCTGGTGGACTTCGTCGCCGTCAACAGCCAATGATACCGCCACATATCAAACGTCCATCAAGTGCCGGTGTGTTGATGTCATCAGCATCTACAATGACCAAACCACGACGTAAATTATTTATGCCAGCTTCGTCGACATCATCATGGCCACATCAACAACAATCATCGGTAACTAGCCGCCGAATTACACCACCAATACCTCGTGCTCGTCGTCGTATACCATTGCATCAATTATCATTTCATTCAGATGGTGCTGTCACTGGTGGTGGTAGATCATCCGATCATTATCATCGTTCATCTCATCATCATTTGACCTCAAGTCTACGAGATTCTTATGCTATAGATGATGACGGTGATGATGATAATAATGATGATGATGACGACGACGACGATGATGATGATTGGTGTTGATCGTAACTAAAAGAATCTTTCAAATTCTGTTTGGGATTCATTGATACAGAATCCAATCAAACTAGCCAAATATAACGAAAAAAAACTAGGTTTACAAATGATAAAATATACTTTACTTTGAAAACAAATACAAATCATATATGGATGTAAAATCAACCTAAAATTTTTTTCTATAAATTTCATCATCATCATCATCATCGATGATTCACATATGGATGTTTCAGATGAATTTTTTTTTCTTCAGAATTTCTTCACTCTTTGACGATGATTTTTATTTCGGTGTCATTTTTCTTTTTTTGATATATGAACATTTTTTTTTGTATCGTGTGATTACACACTTTATATACTACTTAATTAATTATCACAATTTTTTCTTCTTGTTGATAATTGTCATATATATGGTCATTATGAAACTTGTTTTACTTGTTTTTGCTGTTGTTGTTGTTGTTAACTCTTTCTCTCTCACTTCCCTTTGTGTTTCTAAAGAATCAAATTATCACCATTTTTTTCTGCTTCATCATCATCATCATCATTCTATATATTCGGCTTTTTTGGTATTTTTTTTCCTTTCAAAAAGTTCAAATCAATTGATTGATTGAAAATTGGATCAATCTCTTTTACAAACAAACAAACAAAAAAATCTTTGTCTTATATATCCCTTCATATTTCCTAAACAAACTCTCTTTCACTTTCTCAAACTCGAGAATCTCGAGGCCTTATTAATCTATTAACAATTCTTTCTTTGTCTTTTTTTTTGCTAAATGATTCAACTGATCAATATATGATCATATTGAGTATTTGTATCTGTTTTTTCTTCTCCTTTTATCAATCAATATTATGATATATGATTGGAATGTGCAATTTTTTTTGTTCTCGTTTTTTTTTGGAATTATAATCAAATTTTTTCTTCCTGCTATCACACACTTACGAAAAAACACACACACGACTATCTTGTCCTTTTATTCTGTCCCTCAATCAATGAATGATTCACAGTTTTGATTCAAATTCTTTTTTTTTCTGGATCACACACCAATTTCAATATATCTACTCTAGTCCATTAACACATGTTTTTTTTGTTCAATAAAAAAAAAATAAATTCAGGCCGGTTGTAATATATAACATTTTGAAATATATCAATATCAAAACAAAAACTGTTAACACAAAATAGATGTTTTTTTTCTGTTTCACTACTATCTTCACTTTATCTGTTCTTGTTATGGTGGTAGTTTTTACCCTCTGAAAAAAAAGAAAATAAATAAATAAAAAAAAATTCACATTGATAATTCAAAGAAATTGACAATTAGTTTTTTTTTAAACAAATGAATCAATTTACAGCGTTTTCGATGTGATCATGACTAAAAAATTTTGCCATAAAAAACAAAATGATGATTTCAATTGCCAATATATAAACCAAACATGAAAATCATCGGCCGGAAAATTTTTTTTCTTCTGTTTTTTTTTATAAAATGCCAAAAATCGATCGTAATCATCATCAACAATCGAATTTAACATTCGATTTCATCTTGATTTTATTAGCCGAATCTATAATCCGATATTTTTATCGTTCATTTCAAACAAACAATTTTCGTGTTTCAATATTTTATTTTCTTATCAATATAGCCATCACCATAGTTATATCGTTAACTTTCTACATGGCCATCCAACATCATCGAATCCAAATTAAACGTGAACTTATCTATTTGATTATGTTTTTGCTGATAATGATTCCTACATTCACATTTCTTGTATTGATGGAAAAATTTTCCAATTTATTCTACGATAAACAATTGATTGGTGAAATTAAAAATCGTTTTCAACATATTCAACGTCGTCAAATTGATCGATTTATAACCGATGCATTTGTTAATTAATTTGATTCATTTCACTGAGAATCGATTAATAAAATAATTTCCATGGACCGGTTTTTTTAAGCACTTATTATTAATTCCATTAATTTTGTTTTATCTGTTTAAAATTTATATTTCACAATGAAAATTTTAGCAACAAAATAAAATACATGTTGTTTTTATCTTTATTTGATAAAAAAAAATTTCCACTTATGATTGATCATAAGCTTTCATCAATTTTTTCATCCGTTTGATTTTCTTATGATGAAAGGAAAAAAAATTTATATTTAAATATCAATTATGGCACTATTCTCTTCAATCCGTTTGCAAGAACTCATATGCAAATTCTTAACGTAAAAAATCGAAGATGAATAAAATCTCGATGATAACCATTCTTTTGGCTGCTACTTGTTGCTGCTTGAGCTTGGTTCATGGAATTGAACAAGTTCATATTTCACTTGGAAGTAAGTTTTTCTTTCAGATTAATTTATTTGATTTAATTATTTGATTGATTTATTCGATGAATTTATTATTAGCCAATGCAACCGAAATGATTGTTACTTGGACCGAACCACAAAAACATACTGATATCGATATCGATGCAGTTGTTTATTATGGTCGAGCATCATCATCTTTTGATCAAGCAGCCATAGCAAAATCTGAATATTTTAAAGATGATGAAACCAAATATACTACGTTTCGTGCATTGTTGACTGGGCTTGAATCAGATACTCAATATCGTAAGACAAATTAACTTTATCGATGATTTTATTTGGCTAATTTTGGATTGCAACCCTAGATTACAAAATTCAACTTGATGATAAGGAATCATCTATTTTTGCATTTAAAACACTAAAATTGGATGAAAACTGGTTGCCCAGATTCGCTATTTACGGAGATCTTGGTTACGTCAATGAACAATCACTGCCATATCTCAAAAAAGATGTCGAAAAAAATATGTTTGACGTTATCTTTCATATTGGTGATATCGCTTATGATCTTCAGGATGTATGTGAGAAAATTTTAACAAATTTGAATTTGAATAATTGAAATTTTCTTTTTACAAGGAAAACGGTGAAGTTGGAAATAATTTCATGCGATCAATTGAATCGATTGCTTCCAAAATACCGTATATGACATGTCCAGGAAATCATGAAAGACATTCGAATTTTTCTCATTATGATTCAAGATTTTCAATGATTGGTGATCGTAGCCAACCAAATCACCAAGATTCATTAGACAAACGTATCAATAATCATTTTCATAGTATGGAAATTGGTCCGGCAACAATAATCATGTTTTCAACTGAATACTATTATTACACTTACTATGGTTGGGAACAAATTGAACGTCAATATCGATTTTTGGAAAAAGAATTGATACGTGCCAATGAAAATCGTAATAAACGTCCATGGATTATCGCTATGGGTCATCGTCCACTTTATTGTCTTAAAATGGGTGATTCTTCATGTGATCATCAAACAATGGAACGACCAGAAATTCGTCAAGGTATACGAATGCATGATCAAGGCGAACGACAATATGGCTTGGAAGATTTATTCCATAAATATGGTGTTGATATTCAATTCTATGGCCATGAACATTTCTATGCAAGAATGTTTCCTATCTATAAATATCAAATGTACAAAGGAAAACAATCCGATAATCCATATGATCATGCTGATGGACCTATTCATATTACGACAGGTAGTGCAGGAAACAAAGAAATACATCCTTTATTCAATCATCTAAAAGAATGGGTAGCACATCATTTTTATGATTATGGTTACACACGTTTGATTTTCGAAAATCAATATCGAATTCGTTTGCAACAAGTCTCTGATGATCAGGTAAGATATTGAAATTAAAAAATGAATTTGCATTTATTTGGTATTCTCATTGTCTCTAAAAATAGCATGGAAAAGTTTTGGATGAAATTGAAATTATTAAAAGTTCTCCACAGCCTCATTGGATGCCTTGAATAATGATAATCGATAATGATGATTGATAATTGTTAACTAATGTTTATGTTTCTTGAATAAATCAGTTAGTTTATTATTAAACTCAATTTTATTTATCTTTTTTGTGTTGCTTTAAAATCAATCAATCGATAGAATTGTTTGATAATGATATGATAAAATTTTTCATTGTAATCTTATCTAGTCTAAACAATACGATCCAATGTCAATTTGTTGGTATTTCATCCATTTGATTTGATTTGATTTAATCAATCAAAAAAATCTCACTTTAGTTCACTGTCAAAAAATTTCAATTATTGTCATCATCATCGTCATTAAGAATTTATTCAACCAACTTACTACAACAATGCAATCAATTTGTGTGCCAAAATAACAATCAAAATGAAATTATTTAAATGCATTTAAAATAGTTATCCTTTTTTGAAATCAATTATTATTACAACATCATCGATGATTTAATCAACAACAATGAAAATGTTATTGGTTTTTGTTTTTTCAATTTTTTTCTCAATCGTTGTGGCAATTGAACAAATTCATCTTTCACTTGGAAGTAATGAGTGATTAAACTCTATTCATTCATATTTACAATTTCTAATACTGTTCATCTCATTTTTTTTCAGCTGATGAAACTGAAATGATTGTTACATGGACGATACCTGAACAACAAACACCATTACCTCATCAACAAGCACGTGTACATTATGGCAGCAATAATTCTAGTGGTCAATTACAATCGGTCAAAGCTGAAGTAGAACATTTTGATGATGATGAAGCTGAATATTGTACATATAGAGCTTTATTGAAAGAGCTTAAACCAAATACAACTTATTGTAAATTATTTATTCATTTTTCATCAATTTTCGTGCTAATTATCAATTTACGGTGAATTTAATTTGTGTTTAGATTATTGGATTGAACAAGAAAAGAGGAAATCCAATCTCTATCATTTTAAATCATTGCCATCTGGAAACAAATGGCTACCCCGATTCGCTATCTATGGTGATCTTGGATACGTCAATGAACAATCACTACCGTATTTGAAAAAAGACGTGGAACAAAACATGTACGATGTAATTTTTCATGTTGGTGATTTTGCCTATGATCTTCCTTCTGTAAGTTTTTCGATATTTTGATTCTTAGATTTCCTGGATTGATATGTTTTATAATTTATGTGAGTAATATATAGGAAAATGGATGGTGTGGCCATAATTTTATGAGATCAATTGAACCGGTTGCTTCCAGAGTACCATATATGACATGTCCTGGAAATCATGAAGAATATAACAATTTTAGTCATTATGATTCACGTTTCACTATGCTTGGTGATCGAACCATGCCAATGCATAATAGTTCATTGAATGATCGTATTAATAATCATTTTCATAGCATGGATATTGGTCCAGCACATATTATTATGTTTTCAACAGAATATTACTATTATACTGAATATGGATGGAATCAAATTCGTACACAATTTGAATGGCTTGAAAAAGATTTAATCCAAGCTAATAAAAATCGAGCCAAACATCCATGGATTATTGTGATGGGTCATCGTTCACTTTATTGTCTTAAAATGGGTGATGATTCTTGTGATCATCAAACAATGGAACGACCAGAAATTCGACAAGGTATTCACATGCATCGAAGATATAATTTTCCAAGAGAATATGGTCTGGAAAATTTATTTTACAAATATGGTGTTGACATACAATTCTATGGTCATGAACATTTTTATGCACGTTTGGCGCCTATCTATAATTATACAGTTCTTAGTGGAAAACGTTCAACTAATCCATATGATCATCCACAAGGTCCAATCCACATAACGACAGGTAGTGCTGGCAATCTTGAATTACATCCACCATTCAATCATTTGAAAAGTTGGGTCAGCTGTCATTTTCTTGATTATGGTTACACACGTTTATTGTTTGAAAATGAATATCATATTCGATTACAACAGGTTTCCGATGATCAACATGGTGAAGTTTTAGATGAGATTGATATTATAAAAAGTGCACCACAACCACAATGGATGCCACAAAAAAAGAAAATTGTTTCATAAAACAAAACCAATCAATTCAATCAATTCAAATGAATTAAATGATTAAATGTTTCGTGTATTTACTTGCTGATTCATTTATTTATCATGCAATTGACAATGGAATGGACTCAATTACAATGTTGTTCAATTATTGACAAGGTCGATTGATAATTATTTGATCTGTTGTTTTTCCACGTATTCTGCTGTTTAAACAAATATTAATCATTTATCGATTCGTAAATTTGTAAATTGGAAAACAGAAATTTTTTTCTCAAATTTTCATTTTTAAATCCCAGTGATTTGTGTTTCTATTCAGAATAGATGATTTGTTGTTTCACCAAATCTACATTGTGATATACATCATCAACGAAATGCAGACTTTGAAAAACTTTGAAATTCTAGCCTTTTTCCTTTCACTATTGTTTCATGTTTCATTTTTACAAGAACTTGAAACAAATGTTGCCAATAATATTGGATCTGAGAATCAAACTGCTGTAGTGGACAACAATGAATCGAAAATACGTAGTGTCACTAATCGTATGCTGGTCAATGTTCGATGTGCATTCTATCAAAAAGCTGTCATTCCAAGTATGTGTTTCTTTGAAATAATCCTTTGATTTAATTATTTTTCTCTTATTTTCACCAGTGACCAGAATGTTTAATTTATCAATAACAGTACCATCAGATATTCCTGCACAATGTCCACAAATTCAAAATTCTTTAATCATAAATGTAAATACGACTGAAAATGAAACAGAAATTGAATCATTGGAATCCATCAATGAAAAAATGGAAAATTCAGCTGAAATGCCAATCGAAGAGGATCAATCCGATTTAGAAAAATTCGAAGATGATAATAAAAATAACGATATTGTCACGGGGACATCCATCAACTGAACAAACAATTGGATCTATCATTCGAAAACAATCAGGAATCATTCAATCGAAACCAATGAATTAGATCATCCAGTTGAATGATCAAGTATATTGCGATGACCACATATATCTATGAATATTTGTTTTTACCAAATTTTTTTTTTTTTTTTTTGGATTAATGTCATTTCATCATATCAGCCAACTTTTCAATAATTGTTGAAATAGTAGAATAGAAATTATTAAAAATAAAAATTGTTCATCACATCATACATTGACTTTTCAGTCATCATTGAGCATTTATATATATAATCCATTAACATATACACATTTGTTAAGATTATTATGGACGTGAATAATGAGTTATTTAATAAATTATCTTTGGTGGTGGTTGTGTATTGTTGTTGTTGTTGTTATTATTGAAATTAATAGGATGGATATCTTCATTGAATCAAAATTGATTATACAAAACGAAACTATAACACCAAAGAAAGCATCGAGAAAATTCGTTCAAACTGCACCAATTTGGGAACCACAATCATCACAATCACCATGTGTTATTTCGAAAAGATTATTTCTCCTTTTATTACTTCCAAAACCTTTAGTTCGTAAATGTCGTAAGTAAAATGATGTATGACAAAATTTGTTTTTCTCAATAAACTAATTTGTCCAATAGTTGTAACAACAACAGAACCACCATTTATAACATATCCTACTTATCCATATTATAATTATGATGATGATATATATGGAATAATACCACTTTCAAGTGGTCAAATAAATCGTAGACCATCATATATAAGTAGAAATCCAGCTAATAATCAATACAACGATCGCAGAAGGCGAAGACGACGACGACGACGACGACGACGACGCCCAAATCGTACTCGACGACAACGGAAGAGACCAATCAATCAACGTCCTAGATGGATGGCAGTTGCCAAAAAACGTCCATTAAATCGTAGGAAAAAAATTGATGATAACTACAATGATGATGATGATGATGATATGAAAAAATCAAAAATTGTCACCGAACAAGTTCATACCCTACTTTAATACAGTAATGACCCGCTTAACGTTGTTTTTTACCTTATTAAATTGTATATGAATATGAATAAATAAAAACTTGCTTAATGCTGTCAGTTCCGATATAACACTGTAAAAAAATTCTTGGTTTTTTTGAAAATCCTCGGTAGAATCATCAGATACTGATACTGTATATTAAGTGATTATATAAATGATAAGAATCGATATCATTTTAAGATGCTTAGCGCTGTTTCGCTTTATGTTCAAAATTTTTTGACTGTAGCATCCTCTTTAAGCGGGATACTACTGTATATCACACGCAAATTTTTTTTTTTTTTTTTTTTTGATAACTTTTTGTCTTGATCGTATGATGGCGATATGATTTGTTTTTTTGGAAAAATAAAAATTATATATTCCAACGTGCGAATTACAAAAAGCACATACACAAAGATTTGTATTAAATGAAAATTTTTATTTTTTTTTTTTTTTTTTTTGATTTTCGATTTTGATCAATCAATCAATCAATCAATTTGTTTCGTATATTATCATCTATATATGTTGTGTTGTCATCTTCCTTGTGCCCTTGGAATAGGCTTTGAAAAAACAAGAGCAAACTAATAATATTTTTATCGAAAAAAATGAAATAAAATCATTCATTCGAAAAAATTATTATCATTGTTAACGATTTGAATCGGGTCCAGATATCGACATTTTTTTAATGTTTTACGGACTAATCTTGCTCATAATTGATACAGATTTGATATCATCAATTTGTTGTTGATTTGTTATCACAATGTCTCACAATAGATATTTGATATATGGAATCAAAAAGAAGAAGAAAAAAATTTACTTCAGTCAAATCACATGTTGATCGGTAAAAAGGGCGAATTTTTTTCATTCAACAAAATGTTGAATCAAACGGTTTTAAACCATTGCCGATGCTACAACTATAGTTTTTTTATCTTAATTGAAAAATTTCCATCAAGACAAGACAATTTCCTTTCCTCCTTGGTGTGATGTCTCAATCAAATGGTTCGACCGGCAACGGAACCATGGCTGATGATCATAATAAACATAATGAAAGTGATGATGAAATTACGCCCAAATCTCAATTTTTTATCGGTGTATTGATTGTCAAACTTATTGTGATTTTTTTCGACATCATTACATTTCCAATCTATTATCTGATTCAACAACCATGGATAGCAATCAAAAAACAACGTGAAGTAGTGGCAGCATTGGAGAATCCAAATGATCCATATTCTTCTTATGTTCGTGTAGTGGATAATTTCCGTAATCATTATATATTGAAAGCACAAACAATACCAGAATCACAACAATTGGTCCTGAAACTGAATCCAAAAGATATGCCAATTTTGGCTACAAGAAAATTGATTAATGTTGTAAAACAAACTTCAAGAAGTGGCAAACAATTTCTAAAATATCATCTTGGTGAATATGAATGGATGACATTGGAACAGGTTGACAAACAAATCAGTAATCTAGCATATGGTTTTGTTGCTGAAGGTGTACAATTTCAACAAAAGGTTCTCATCTATTCTGAAACTCGTTTAGGTAAGTCGTATTTGGTCGTTAGTTTTTTTTGCATGATTATTAATCGACAACACTATCATTGATTGGCAATTATAGAATGGTTCCTTTGTGCTCAAGCATTGTTTCGAATTGGTGCAGTTGTAACAACTTTGTACACAACATTAGGAAAGAAAAGTGTATTATATGGAATACAAGAAACAGAAGTTGAACATATTATAACCACAAGTGATATGTTACCAACATTACTAGAACTTATTGATCAAATGCCATTGGTTAAAAATATTTATGTCATTGAAATACATCGTGGTCTATTGAAATCTGAACCAATAACAGAAAATGACTTTAATAAAAAATTAGAAGGCCAAAATCGTCTTATTAAATTAATAACATATAATCATCTGGCAAAAATTGGTTATCTCCGTGAAAATGAACTTCATTATACGAGGCCAAAACCATCGGATTTAGCCGTGATACTTTATACTTCTGGTAATGATTTTGATAATTTAGATGAAAATGTCACATGATATATCTTCTTGCTTTTCTGAATATAGGTTCTACGGGTAATCCAAAAGGTGTTCTTGTAACTCAAGAAAATCTCATTGCTGCTATGCATGCTGCATATGCAATTTTGAATCAAGAAATCATTGATGAATATGATTCACATATATACTATGCCATATTGCCATTGTCTCATATATTTGAACTCATGGTCGAATTGGCATTATTCTCTGTCGGTATCAAAATTGGTTACGGTTCTCCTCATACCATGTTGGATAGTTCAACAGCTATCCTAAAAGGTCAAAAAGGTGATTTGAAAATATTAAGTCCAACCATAATGGCTGCAGTTCCATTGATTATGGATCGAATACGAAAAGCAATCACGGATCGTTTTGAAAAAAAGAAAAGTGTTTTCATGAAACAATTGGTCAAGTTTTTTTTGGCTTATAAAAATTATTGGCTCGAACGTGGATTTGATACACCAATGGTAAATGAATTAATCTGTAAACGTTTGAATGGAAATCTTGGTGGTAAAGTTAAATATATGATATGTGGTGGTGCACCTCTCAGTCCGGATACACAACGTATGATGAAAGCTTTTCTTAATGTACAAATTTTGGTTGGTTATGGATCATCAGAAACGTGTGGTGCTGCTTCTTTAATGAGCCTACATGATCTATCCATAGGTAATGTTGGTACACCATTGAAAGGTGTCAAAATTCGTTTGATAGATTGGACCGAAGGTGGATATTCGGTTCACGATAAACCATATCCACGTGGCGAATTGGTAATTGGTGGTAAATCAATTTCCAAAGGTTACTTCAAACTTCCAGAAAAAACTGCAGAATCATTCGAAGATAAAGATGGCATCTGGTGGTTTAAAATGGGAGATATTGGTGAGATAAATAAAATTGGTGCCATCAAAATTATTGATCGTAAAAAAGATTTAGTTAAATTACAATTTGGCGAATATATTTCATTGGGTAAAGTATGTTTGCAATAATTATATTTTATTTCAATTTCAATTATCAACCAATTAATTCATATTAATAGGTGGAAACGGAATTGAAAGTTTTTTCATATGTTGAAAACATTTGTATTTATGGCGATTCAATGCATACATATGTGATTGCATTGATATCACCATCCCGTGCAAATTTGGCCCGTTTAGCACAAGAAATGAATAAATCAAATCTGTCGTTCGAAGAACAATGTGAAGATCCAGAAATATTGAATAGAATTCTTACGGAATTGAAACAATTCTGTGCCGAAGTTGGTTTGCACAAAATGGAAACACCACAAAAGATAAAATTATGTTCCAAAGAATGGTCAATGGACAGTGGTTTCTTGACCGCTTCTCTCAAGATTAAACGTCGTGAAATACAAAAATTTTATGAAGAAACTATCAATGAAATGTATAAAAATTGAAATAGAATTTATTTGAATTCATCATAAAACTCGTGTGTTTGTGTGTTTTACGATGTCATTGATTTAATAAATGCTGGAAATTATCCATTTTTTCATCCAATAAAAGAAAGATTATTGGAAAGTACATTAAAATATCATCACAATGAAATATTCAATCAATACTCAATCGATGACGTCAACACAATACAATACAATTACATTCGAGATTACAGAACCGGATGGCTTTTTTCTCAACAATCCATGTAGATAAATAGAGAAAGAATATATTGGTTGATTTTTTCCATTTTAAACCCAAAATTTCCCCAGATTTCATTTTTCCTCGAATAATAATAATTTGATGAGTACAAATTCATTATTTCATTGAAAAATGATTATTTTGTTGTTGTTTTTGTTGTGGTGAAAAAAAAAAAAAAAAAAGTTTATTTTTAACACAAAAATATTTACAATGAAAAAAAAAACAATTCAAAGAAACATTAGTATACAGGATTCAAGATTAGTCTCTTTTAATTGTATGATAAATTGCTGTATCAGGTTGAAAATGACAAGAATTATTTCAAGAATGATGGTTTTCATTGTGAAATCGGTGAGCATTTTTTTTTTGATGATCAAACAGCAGCAGCATATATTCTGTGGATTCAAAATATATTGTTTTGTTTTACAATTGAATTGAATGGTGATGATCTGGTTTGATATTCATATGAAAATAATTTTTTTAATGAAAAAATGAAAAATTAAATTTATCAAGTACAATTTGTATTTAAATCAATCATTCGATCAAATTCCATGTACCAATTACTTCCGAGAGTCACTGAACGATGTTTCGACGAAAAAAAATGACAAAATTTATCGAAAAATTATCAAAAAATTTTTTCTTTTGTGTTTATCATTCATAGACAATAGTTTTTATTTTGAATTTATTATTGATAGTGGCAAACAAACTTTTTTCTGGTGATACATTCATACACAAACAACATCATCATAATCATTCGAGCGAAAAAGCATTGATTTGATAAAAAAAAGCGTCGATTTTTAGTGCACACACAAACACATTATATTTTTTTTATGTCACAAAATTCGATTGGACCCATGAAAAAAAAGTATCTTGTTTATCGACCACACGCTACTTGAAATTGGGAAAAAACAATTACGTTGTCAATAATAATAATATGAAATCGATCAAAAGGAAAATGTTTGCATACGTCAAACTCTGTGATAATGTTTATGTTGTGGTGTGATGTGGCTAAAAATTTTTTTTCGTGGTCATATTTAGGTCATCAACAAGTTACATCATCAGTACGGAAAGAGCATCGGCAAACAAAAAAGAGAAAGAGTGATGACCTAGAATGTCTTTCTTCTTCTTGCTACTATAGCCAGATTTTAATATCTAGTAATGTAAGCAAAATTCCGGTTCATTTAATCAGTACAATCCTTTTTTCTCTTCTTTTCATTTTGATTACTCTTTTATCAATGCAAGTGATGAATCGATCAGAGAGATCAATCATCATCATCGATAAATCGTTATGAAAATTTGATAATTTGAAAATGTAACACACACTATTTATTTGTTTATAAAAATTTTTTTTTTTTTTGAAAATCCATCTAATGTTGTTAATCAAGATAGATTCGATCAACGGTGGAAAAAATAAAACTTGACCTTGATTTAATAACATTATCCAGATAGAACCAGTCAGTTTTTTTATGTAAATGTATGAAGACGTCTTGGTTGAAATATTCAGTATTTTAAAATTGAATAAAAAAAAACTAGATAACCAATGAGAGGGTACAAAAAAAACGAGAGATAAAAGACGATAATAGTTTATTGGAAAATTTCATTGGAAAAAAACTGTCTAAATAAAATAAAATGATAAATGAATAGATGGATATATAATAATAATGTAAATAGTAAATAGTAAATAAATTAAAATCATGCAATGAAAAATGAAAAGTTGATTGACAACAACAACAACAAAAAAAAAAATAATTCTAAAAATAACAAGCATGAATTTCCATTTTATTCGCTGCTATGATCACACTATATAGACTTCGATTGATGCCAATGGCAATTTTTTTGAATCGATTCCTATCAATAGAAAGTCGTGCTGTATAGTTAGAATTGATGATAAATCAAAAAAAAAAAAGCACTGGTTGCGGCATTTACTAATATCATAATCATAGTAATAGTAACATTACAATATACTGTCAAGCTGTTGACGCAATGTTTTTTTTGTCGCAGTTTGTTCAATTTAAAAACCTGATGATCATCAAACAAATTTGTTAGTTTAATGGTCATCATGGAGAACAATACAACAACAACATATGAACAATCAAATTCAAATTTAAATTTAAATCATGATAATAGAAATGTGTATCCACCATTGTATCTAGGAACCGATAGCAGTATGGCTGAAACATTTATAAATATTTCAAATAAAATCCAAACCAACAACAATTCACAACATTCGAATAAAGTAAGCGAAAAATACATTTTTTTTTCTAAATATTTTGAATGATAATTATTGAATAATTCAAAAGTATCCTAAAGCCCTCAAAAATGCTTCTGGAATAATTTTGAAATTCATATTTATGACCATTTTCATTTCGATTGTACAAATTTATACATGGACAACATGGCCATTATATTTTATTGTACAACAACCATGGAAAGCTAAACGTTTGAATGATCGAATACGTATAAAAATATTTAAAGGAAGTAATGATTCAAAAATGTCACCAATTTATGAACGTAATGATCCAGAAATTCTTGATTATCCATTTTTCAGCTATAAATCTGTAACACAAATTTTTCAATCATTGACCGATCATTTGGATCGTGATCGTAATTGTCTCGGTTAGTGTGCGCAAACACAATTTTTTAAATTTATTCATCTCTTTCCACATCTCATTTAGGTTATCGTCAAGTGCTTTCAGAAGAATCCATTTTAAATGATAAAGGTCAAGAACGACGTATGGATGGACGTAAATTGAAAAGATATTACCTCAGTGATTATAAATGGATAACATATGGACAAGCACAGACAACAACAAGAAATATTGCAAAAGGTTTAATGGCTAATGGTATAACCGAAGGTGATAGAATAATGATCTTTGCTGAAACCAGAATCGAATGGATGCTATCGTTTTTGGCCATTCCACAAACAGGTGCTGTTGTAGTTACAGCATTTTCAAATTTAGGAACCCGTGGTCTATTATATTCGCTGGAACAAACTGAAGTTGATACTGTTATTGTTTCATTTGAATGTATTCAAATATTACAAGCGGTTTTAGCTAATTCTTCCAAACACAAAGTGAAAAGAATTATTTTCATGGATGGATTCAAAAAACCAGATTTTGAATTCCCATCAAACATTAAGATTTTTTCATTGAATGGTATTGAACGATTAGGTGAACAATGTATAAAAGAAATGCGTGATAAACCATTATATTCCGGATCATTAGATCGCTTAATGATTATAATGTATACATCCGGAACAAATGGCGATCCAAAAGCAGCATTGATTACGGAAAATCAACTTTTTGTTTCGATGAAGGCAATGTATTGTCGTGTTCGTTCTTTGGTACATGAAACAGATAAACATATCTATGTTGCATATTTGCCATCCGCACATATTTTGGAATTGACACTGGAATTATTATTCTTTCTTGGTAATCTAAATTTTAAGATATTTCAATATTGCATTTTCGATAATTACCCATTTTACAACAGGTGGTGTTCGACTTGGCTATGCTTCACCATTTACTTTAACCGATTCAGCTCCCGGTCTTGGTTTAGGTCAAAAATCAGACATGAAATTATTGCAACCAACAATAATGACAACAGTTCCATTGGTTTTGGAGAGAATTCTTAAAGAAATTAATGAAAAATTAAAAGCTCGAACACCGGTATCGCAACAAGTTTTTCGATTTCTTGCCAATTATAAATCAGAATGGACAAGACATGGCTACAAATGTAACATTGTAACGAAATTAATATGTCCAAAAGTTCGTGAACAATTTGGCAATAAATTGATGTTTATGATTTGTGGTGGTGCACCATTAAATACACGAACACAAGCAACAATCAAATCAGCACTTGATGTTATTTTCATTCAAGGATATGGCTGTACGGAAACAACTTCATCACCAATTTGTATGGATTTCGAAACTCTCGATTATGGAAATTGTGGATCAATTCTGGCAAATGCATATTTTCGATTACAAGATTGGGATGAAGGTGGCTATTCAGTACGCGATCGTCCTAATCCTCGTGGCGAACTTTTGATTGGCGGTGAAATTGTTACAATGGGATATTTTAAAAATCCTCACCTGACCAAAGAAGTTTATTATACTGATGAGAATAGAATCAGATGGTATCGAACAGGAGATATTGCTGAAATGTTCCCAAATGGTTTTGTTAAAATTATTGATCGCCGTAAAGATTTAATTAAATTACAGAATGGTGAATATATTTCGTTGGGGAAGGTATGTATTTTTTTGAAATCAAAAACTTGATTTCATTTTCCTTTTTCAATTCTCAATAAAAAAAAGGTGGAAGCAGCATTAAAGATGTGTCCATTAATTGAAAATGCATTCGTATATGGTGATATTTATGCAACTGAACTGGTGGCTTTGATTAGTCCGAATCAAAAAGCATTTGAAGAATTATCTCGACAAATGGATAAAAACAATATGACAATTGAAGAAAAATGTAATGATAAACAAATAGAATCAACATTTCTTGAAGCAATCGTTGATGTTTCGAAACAAAGTTCGCTGACTAAAATAGAAATTCCAAAACGAATCAAAATAGTGCCCGATGTATGGTCACCTGATAATGATATATTAACAGCATCAATGAAATTGAAAAGACAAAATGTAATGAAAAAATACAATCAAGAATTGACCAAATTATGTAATGAAAGAAAAATATCGGATAATCAAGATAAAAATCATAATTGCTAATTTTGATTTTTATCTTGATCAAAAATCATGATTGTTTTTTTGTTTTGAAAAATGGCAATTTTATTTTGTTTTTTTTGTACAAAAAAAAATCATAATAAAAAATGTTATGTTATTATGTATTCATCAAAATGATTGGCATTTTAATAATGGACAAAAAAAATTGAAACTGAGTTTGATTTTAATAACAATGTAGCGAGAAAAAAAAACTAAATTCAATTAACGCGTGGTAATTAATTAATTCAGTTATATTAATGATGACAAACAAAATATATAAACAAAAATCCTGATCAAATGTTTGGTTTTTTCTGTTGTTGCTGCTGCTGCTATTAATTTGCATTAACTTGTGATAATTTTATAAATATTAAATATTTACTGTGATTGGAATGGAAAAACAAAATTGTCCTTGCTACAATAATCCATCAATAATGGGATGTACGAATAATAAACGACCAAGTTATTGCCAAAAAAGTAAGTTAATGATGATGATGATGATGATGTGATTTAAAAAAAGTAATGGGTTGATACAGAAGCAAAAAATACCAAAAATTGTTTCATATATGAAAAATTAGGGCAATTGAATAACATTTTTAGTGAAAATTCATTTTTTTCAATCACTATGGTTTTTCGAATTTTTTCGATAAAATAAACAAGCAAGAAAAAAAATTACTTATTCAGCAAAAAAATTAAAAAAAACATTTATCAATTAATCTCGATCACCATAACAACGCTGCATTGAATTTGATATTTAAAAGCTTAGTAGCAACCTGTTGAAAAATTCACTAGATTTTGTTTGTCGAAAAAATCCGTTACTTTAGCATCGAATCAAAAGCTTTAATTGATTTAACTCACACAAAATGTTTCGAACAATTTTATTGTTTTTCATTGTTTATTGTTCATTTACTATAGGATCCAGAGCATCGACGGAAACATCGGCAATGGAAACTATTGATGCTGGTCGTGTTGAAAAATCTTTGGCCAAATTGAACATAACATCACAAACAAAAATTCATGATTTGGTTCCAGGATCCGATCAACTCAAAGATGTCTATACGGCCTATGATCCATCATTTATCAAACAAGAAATTGATATTTTCAAGCTAACCGTTGTTGAAACAACCACAAAATTTTTCGTAAGAATTGAATTTATTTCTTTCGAATTGAACACAATTTTTAGACAAAACATTTTATTTATTTTCTCTAGACGGCCCTTTTGTCTGATCCTGAAGAACGAAAATTTGCTGACTTTAAAGATTTCGATAAACGAATGGAAACATTTGTCGATAATCTTAAATCATTGGCCAATACAATTAAAGATGAATTGAACAAACCAAAAGATCAGCGAACCAAATATGGATTGACACCATTTTCAGCTCTTGTAAGTCAATAAGTTTTGCTTGTAATTCATATTCTCTCACTAACTAACATTTTCTTATTTTCTTGATGCAGAATAACGTAGAAAGTGGAATGATGTTTGGATTAAGTCCGCCAAAATAATGATGAATTTCATTATTTTATAAAATAAAATTTTGACATTTGAATTTGAATTTTATTTTTGTGAAAATAAAAAATTCACTTTTGTTTTTTTCCAATAAATAAACCAATATCATTGTGTTTGATGATAAGTAGCAAATTGTATGAATCTTGATTTCCAATAATAATTACCACCGGGTGTGTGTGTGTATATATATTCATCAGGTTTATGTGTGGATTATGCAAATACAATTTCAACAAAACTTGCGATAGTAATGAAAACAACATAGATAGCAGTGCAAGTGATACCGACACCTAAACTTAATTTCCATTCAAACATTGATAATGATGTAATCAATGCAATAATTGCTATTAAAAGTGAAAATGTTGTCAATGGTAAACCTTCAGATCTTATTGGCACGGATGTGATTGCCGTATTCAATGTATTGAAATCAATCATATTGATAATTGATTTGATAAACCATGGTAAACCAAGACAGATAAGAATGTCGAAAATATTCGATCCAATTGAATTACAAAGTGCCATATCGACTAAACCGGCTCTTTTGACGACGAGAACGCTGCTTATTAATTCAGGTATCGATGTTCCAGCAGCCAACAATGTTAAACCGCTTACGGTTTCAGGAATTTTAAACGTATTGCCAATAATTGTAACCATCCATACGGATAAATAGGTTAATAAAATGATCCAAAAAATCGAAATAATAAATGTTGCTATAAACCAATAGCCCATTGGTTTTGGTATTGTCCAACGAAATATAAATTGTACTGGATACATTATAATCTTCATGAATAGATTACTTTCTACCCAATTCTCTTCTTCAATAACACCATCTTCAGTCATTGATGATAAACGTCGGCTTGAAGATGAACTCGTTCGTGGTCTAGGCAATTCATTATTGCCATCAAATTCTAATGGAACCGTGAGTAGTGGAGTTTTTTCCGATAAAATTATCGCCGTTGGAGAAACTTTACCACCACTACCAGCAGCAGCAATATCACCAAGTTTTGTATTGTAATACATAATGATTAAATATATACAAAACAAACAAAACATTGCTAATGATTCAATCCTAAAAAGTAAATTAAGAGAAGAAATTTTAGTTATAATAAAACAAAATATATTCAAAAGAAAAACAACAAACCAATCTACTAAATTATCCTTTAAAACCAGCAATAATGTTGTTACAGTAATTAGATAGAAAATTGAATCACGAATTATAGCAAATTGTGACACATTTGCTTGTTGATTTGAAAAAAAGTATGATGCAAATGAACAAACAGCCGGTATGAAGATGATATTGAATACAGCTGATCCAAGAATGGTTCCTGTACCAATATCATCTTTCGAAATGAATACACCAATTACAGATGTGAATAATTCTGGTGCCGATGTTCCAATTGCCATAAAAGTTGCACCGGCAACATCGGCAGGTAATTTTAATTCTAAGGAATTGAAAAAAATAATTTTTAGTTTTGTCGTATGTATATTTATAAATAATGGATCAAATATTGGCATATTACCATCACTGATGACACCAAGTGAGGAAAGAAAATAATAATCACAAACAATACCCAATGATAAACAAATATAAATCAAAAGGAAAAAATGCGCAATGATGCCACCGTTTTCACGAATCTTTTTTTTAAAAAAAATTTAAAATTTATAAAATTTATGAAAAAGAAATGAAAAAATCTTACATGATCGGACATGAAATCTGGTGGATAACTATTTGATGAATAAATCTTTTGGATTGTGATATTACCAACAATGTTCTGTTCATTTTGTTCAACATCAAATGATGATGATGATGATGATGGTTTATCGGTAATGTTAACATCATTATCAATTCTTAATGAAAAAATTATACCGGTAAAAAAAATTAAAATTAAATTTGGATAGATCCAAAACGATGAATTTTTTCTCTTGAATTTTATCATCATGGCCAAGGTTATGAATTATATTATGGATGAATAGATTGAATCATGACGACAACTATATGAAGACAAAGATAGAACACAATGATGCTCTAAATCAATTTTTTACATCGCTATAGTAACCAGAGATAGAGATGAGCGAACGTATACGTGAAACATCAAAAATCTGAATCTCTTAATCTTTTTTTTTTTCACTGACGTCAATCGAAAAAAAACTGGCAAATTGAATCATAAAAAAAATCACCAGGAAAAAAATAAATATGACCAAATCGAAAATGATAGCCGAAAAAAGAAACAAAGATTATCACCAACATCAAATATAGCTATACGGCAACAAGTGAAGTGTTTTTTTTTCATTTTCATTTTTAAACAACAGAAAAAAATACACAACACAGCTAATCTTGAATTTTTTTTTTTGTTGTCTTGTTTGTCGTATACCAGCAGAGATAAGACAGCAAGTGTAAAACACAAAAACCAATCATTGTTGTGTTGTGGAAAATCAATCAAATCAAATCGATAGAAAAATGTCAATTATTAAGAAACAAATTTTTTTAATACAAAAAGACACTGAAAAAAAAAATAATTCGGTACATAAAAAAGGCAGCAATTTTTTCTCCATTTGTACAATAGTTATTAGTTAGTTAATTCAACTCTTGCATGGATCTTACCATCAAGCTGTGGTAATGTTTGATGATCATCTTTGATGTTGATCCACAAAGAATCGGAACCACAATCAAGTTTTTCTGATTCACTTGATTGTCTTTTGAAAAAAAATTCTTGTATACCACGTTTGGTTGGAATTTGTTGTTTGAATGACAATAAAGTGATATGTGGTCCAATCAATGTCAATTTATGTGGAACTTCTTCATTAGAAAACTTAACATATGCAGGTATTGTCACCGAATTGTTAACGGATAATGAATTGAATTGAGCAATAAAATGTGGTGTCGGTGATAATGGTGGTGGTGGATGAATGATTTGTTGTGGATTAGTGTGATGGGGATATGGTGCCGATGATGATTGATTAGATGTGGATGGTGAATCGGCATTCGGTGTTTCGAAAACTTGTGCAAAATGTTTATCTAATATGGCTTGACCACTCTCATTTTTAAGTGTACTGAAATCAATATTTTTCAATGCCAAACCTAGGCCTGATTCTCGATGATTTGATTTGCTCGATGTTTGATTATTGTTGGTGGAATTTTTGCCCACACCAGCTTCACGTTGTTGAACGCTGCCACCGCCGTGTTGTGATCCAGGCAATGATGGTGAGTGTGCTCGTTCAAAAGATATCAATGCTTGGCTTAGTTTTATATCAGTTTCTTGTTCTGAACGAACTTTATTCAATTTTTCAATCAATCTACGTGCAAATTCATCAGGATTTTCTAGTGGTAATAGTTGATTTTTCAGCTGTTGAGGTGGAGGCCTTTGAAATCGTTGTGTCAATGTTTTGTTTGATAATGATGAACTCATATTACGTAATAATGATTTTCTATCACGTGAACAAACAAACGATGAATCACTGGATGATATGGATTCAATTTCAGAGTCTTTTTTAGAATTATATTGTACTGATGAATATTGAGCATGTCTGTTTACATGATACGGATGTGGTGGATTTTCCAATGCATAAAATTGAAGATGTAATCGTTCCCTGCTTGCAGCGGGTTGATTCGGTTTGTTCGATGATAATGATCTAAGTTGTGGTTGTGGTATTCGTGAATGCTGTTGTTGTTGAGAGAATTTAGGCACAACCTCTATGACAGTTGAATCACCATCTTCGCTAGTTTCATCAATAACTGGCATATCAAATCTTTTTACATAATTATTGGACCTTTAAAACAATGATGAAAAAATGATTAGAAATTATTTTATCTCATAAAAAATGATAATAATAATAATTACTCTGAAACAAATTCTTGTTCCGGATCATCCAAAGATTCCGATAACTGAGGTGATAAATGGTTTTCTTTTGCTTGTAGCGATTGTTGATGATTCAAATCAGTTTTGTTGCACGAAGCGATTCCAGCAATCGGTTGTTGTACATTATTCGTCCAATCGAATTTATTTATGTAATCAAGAAATATTCTTGATTTAAGAAAATTCTGATAAATGGCACCACTTAATCGAGATTCTATCTCATTAAATGCTTCATTAAATGTATTCTCATCTAGAAACTGTAGCTGCTGTTGATTTTGGCGATTTGTATCCAATGATGATGAAGATTTCGAGCTATTTAGTTGAATTTTATAGACATTCATTAAATGTTGTTGACATTCTTTGGATAATTCAAGAATTTTTGGATTTAATATAAAACGTTTGAATATCACAACAATTGAACGATTTTTTGTGCTAACATCAATTTCAGTTGATTTCAAACCTATACATGCGAAATAAAAATTTAGCAAATGATCAAGTCCAGTTTCAACTGTATATTGACGAAAAAGATTAACACCATCACGATCATCGATCAATGAACGAAAATCTCTTGACCAACGATCAATTTGTGGTGTTTCATCAGTAGCTATACTTGATGGTGTCGATGTTTCAATTGGTGGTGTTTGATGATTGTCATCAATTTGGTCACGTTGCTGTTGAACACATTTATGTGATTGATTAGTCATCTTTTCAATAGGAGGACTTTCAACAGAATTTCTTGTTACTGATGTACAATTTAACCATTGATGTGGTATGGATGATGGCACTAATGTTGATGAAACTGGCTGTGGTTGTCCTAAACAAGCATTGGCCAAAACAGATATATGTTGTCTAGTATTAAGATTTGTATGATGTTGTTGTTGTTCTCGTTCTTGACGACGATAATAACCAGGACTTAGAATAATTGATGCTGTTGCAGCTGATTGTTGTTGTTGGATCGACGAAGATGATGGTGAAGGTGATGAAGTTGGTGATGATGCTGCTGCAAGGCTCATAGTTTCAAGATCAATTTACAATTTGGAAACATTAAAACAAAACCTAGAATTCATTACAAAATCATTGTGTTTTCATAAAATTACAAAGTTTATGGATAATAAAATATATAATATAAATGAGATTTGATGATCAACATTAAATTATGACATTTTGATGATTCAAATTCATCATGGTTTATGATTCAAAATCGAGAACACAAAATGGTGCAAATCATGCATAAGATAATTCATTGATGTAAGAAAACAACAAATTTTCAACAACAATAACAACAACAACAAAGTGAGAAAATAAATTATAGTGGAAAGGCAATGATCCGATTGTGTGTGTGTGTGTGTGCATGGCAAACGATCGAGATCAATACACAACAACAACAACAACATCATCATAATAATCAAGAATACCATGGGCCATTATCATCGCCACTGCTACTACGAATGATCATTAAACAAGTAACAAGTCCACATTTGTTGTTGGTGTTGTTATTTGGCATATAAACACATACACATTCAATGAACCAAAAAAAAAAAAAAATTTGAGCAGCCAACACTAATACCACACACCATAGCAATCATATTAAGACGATGATTATTCGCTACGAATGATCACGATCATCAAACAACGACGATCCCACACACACACATGTATTATTACGACAATATAACACTTGTAGATTTTTTTTCACAGAAAATTACGACTCAAATACATTTGCGCCATCTAATAATGATGGACATAAGTGTCCATATTTCAAAAACATTGGATTTCGGCAATTTTTATTTTATTTTATTTTACTGTTGCTAATAAAATGATATCTCTATTTCAATAATTTTTAATCATGCAACATTTATGAAATTAACATAAATATAAACACATTTCATTCACCAATTTGATTCGTTTGTGATTAAATAAAGCCACTTTTTTGACAAACAAATAGATAAAACCTTTGATCAAGGATTTTATCAAACACGTATTGAAATATAGATTTTTTCGGTGATGATCAAAAAGATGATCGTAAAACTGATAATTGTTCGCATTGATCAGACAAAGTAAGTAAGAAAAAAATAAAGAAAATCAGAAGCCATCACATACATATCAATATAAAAAAAAACATAAAAGTAACGTCATAGTGAATAAATAAATTATAATTATTTTAATTGTATAAAAAAGAGAAAAATCAATCCCAAAGAATGTTTGATGAATAATGAAATAAAATCTTTTCTAGTTCACCAGTATAGGGTTACCTGATTTTTTCGGTACATTCGATAAATGTGATTCACTGTGATGACGATGATGATTGTGATTGTTCATCTTTTTGTTTCAATTTGATTAAATACTTTTCAAATATAAAAAAAGTGGAGAAAAATTTTAAAATAAGTCTCTCTTTTCGTAAATAAAACAGACATACCCTTTGATAAAATGTTATATAACCATCAAAAAGTTTTTCCATTTCAACATCAATTTTAGATTTCGGCAATCTTTTTTCTTTTTGATTTTTCTTATCGTTAGTGGAGGATTGATATTTTTTCGAACAATCAATACTATCATTATCAAACATATCAATCAATGAATGTTGATTCATATCCTTAGTGATCGATTGGATTTCATTAGATGATGATGATGTTGAAGTATGACTTCCATTCATTGGATCATCATTGTCGGCAAATTGTTTGTGAGATATAAATTTTCCAAATTCTTTCGACCATCGTAACAATGGTTGTTGATCATCAAGAACATGATCATGTTCATGAGACAAATGATCATGATGATCAGGATGATCAATAGCCATTTTGTTGGGATTTGATGAATGATGATCAATCAATAGATCATTGGTTAAATCGATAGTAATATCAGTTTTCTCTTGTGATATAACCGTCGTTGAAGAATGTTGATCAATTAAAACTTTTGATCGTGCATCGAATATTATCATATGTATTTCATTGATATATTGACGGACCAATGGTGGTATAGGATTACAACAGGCCAATATTCCTTGCTGTTCTCTAAATTATAAGAAACAAATACAATGAATGAATGAATAATTGTGAAAAAAATCATCAGCTATTTATACCTAGGTAAGATTTCACAAATTTTCAACAAAAGATTATTTGGTAAAACATAGCCTGTGCTCTCATCTTCTTGACGTGCGATGACATCACGCCAAGCATATAATGATTTCAGGGCAGCCATTTGTCGTTGATTGAATCTTAGATTATTTTTCCAAACTAAATGAACATGATCATTGATTTCTGGAAGTTTTTTTTCATATCGCTATAGATCAATAAAATTATCATTAGATTCTATGAATATGAACTCAATAATTTACCTTAAGGCACATTTGTTGACTACGTTCCATAACAACACGTAAAAGATTGCCGGTTTGATCACTAGTGTTGAGCAATTCTTGTTTTAATTTTCGATAAATATACAAAAGAAAATGTGTATCACAACGAGCATATTGAAGCATTTCATCGGGTATTGGACGCATTCGCCAATCAGCCAATTGAAAACGTTTATCCATTTGAAATTGACAAAATTGTTCCACTAATGACGATAATGATAGATGTTGATATCCGAGAGTTTTGGCAGCAACCCATGTATCGAACATATTTACAACATAAATACCAAGATCACGTTGTAGCCAAATAATATCATATGTTGATGAATGAAAAACTTTCAGTATCGAAGGTAATGTGAATATTTCATTCAATAATTGCATATCCTGCCAAAGTGGAAATACATCGATAATATAATCAGTTTGATCGGTCGATATTTGTAACAAACATGTCAATCCCTGATAAGATCTGAATGAATGATGTTCAAGATCTATGGCAATTTCTTTGAAATTTTTAAGTTCACGAACCAATTCACAGAGTTCATCACGTTTATTGATAAATTTATATGGTTTTTCTTGTATCGATGGTGGCGGCTTGAATTGGTTTGAATCGTGTTTAGTAAAAAAGCTTGATGATATTGTAAAATTTTCAATTTCATATTGATACGGGTGTTGATAAGAATGTTTAGGATAATTATATCCACTTAAAAGATTTGCTGGTGGTTCATTCTGCGGTAGCGGTTTCATAGATTCTTCCAACGAAACAATTGCATTAGGTTTTCGCCTAAGCTTTGGTATGAAAGGTGTTGAATATGCATTATCTACTTTGATTTTGTATGCAATCTGAGGACGTTTAACATTTGATGCAGCCATAAACATAAAATTTCTCTTAGATTCTAAATGGCCGGTATTGTTATTATCAGAATGTTTTCGTTTGATGTTAACGCCTAAAAGTGGGCCATTATTATTTTTGCTAAAATCTTTGATGAATATCCTAGAATTATTTTGTTTTTGATTGACATTCATCTGAACTTGTATCAAATTAGATACGGAATTTTTCTTTTCCTTCAAATTTTCTGCACATTCAAAATAATGTATCTGCAAAACAATCGTTATCATTCAAATTGTCAAAAACATTTTAATTACCGTGATAATTACCGTTTTGTCGATAAGGGCATCATCGATTTCAATTAATTTAGCAATTTTTTGTTGATCATCAAACTTCGTTCGCGTAAAATTACAATCACGGCTATTTGGATTGAGATCATTTTGATTCAATTTAGTTAGAATTTTCAATGTATTACAACATTGAATTTTTATTAAATCTTGGATTTTTTCATTCTTTTTAGCATTTGAATTTTGCATAATTTCCCGTGCTAATAGAATAGTTTCTTTAATTTTATCATTAAAATCAGCTGTTGTAAAAGAATCGGTTGCCGTTGTATCCGAAACTGATGATGAAGTTGTCTATTGTGCAGGAAATAAAATTTAAAGATATATTCAATTATTATATGAAAAATTACAAACCATGATTTGATGGATTTTATTGATTAAATTACAAAAAAATTAAATAAATTGTCAAACATAATAAAGACCACGTTTGGTTTTAATTTCCATCAATACACGTGATTTATGGACCGTTCAAAAAGTATGTGTTCAGAGAATCGGAAATCCGAATTGAATCTGTATATTATGACCTATTCATATTTATCCATTATTTTAATTCGACCAGATCATCTTTGTGGTTTTGTTAACCTCGATTTAATATATGAATAAATGATTTATCGTCTTTTATTTTTCGACTAAACAAACCTTATAGATATAGATATAGAATCTTTAAATGGCTAAATTTTAAATGACAATCCAATTTCAATCTATCACCCCATTTTTTTATAATTATTGTTCCAACAATGAATCATTCATATTGTAGAAAAACAATAGGCTAAATCATCATTATATGGCAATCATCATCATCATCATGTTGCACATTTGATTAAATGGTCGTCAAGGCTACACTATTCACGTCTTTTCAAATACAACTGGCTGGGCGCGGTATAGGTTGAATACACACATAGCAATGTATTTTTTTTTTTGCATTATAAATTACACACATACGGTTGAATTGTATATGGATCGGCAATACAAGCACACTGGCCGTTTCTGCACAAAATGTCTATCGACAATCAGTGATTCACAATGCTACTACCCAAATATCATCAGTATTGACACACACACACACACACACGACATCATATATAAATCCACAATTATTTGTATGTTTACAATTTTTTTTGGATCGCCCAGTTGGATCCGAGACGCCGAAAAGCCCTGAAAGAATCCATTATATAGCCGAAAAAATATCTGGATATCATTTGTATATTTGCCGCATTATATCAACGAGTAGTGTGAAAAAAATCCTGGTTATTTTTTTGTCAAATTATCATATTTCTTTAACTATTATTACCATCAAATATATCAACATAAAGTTGTATTGTATTGTATGTATCAAGGATAATTGTATATCAACTTTCTAAGACCAACACCCATTTATTGATATTTTATCGAATATAATAAGATAAAATATTTTCATATATTTTTGGGTGGATCATCATTTCTCTCTATCTATGTGATCATAATTGTGTCACATATAATTTAATGAGATTTTGTTATTTATTTTCCATATTTCATGTAGAGTGACTAAGCTAATTTTTCTTGTGGTTTTGTTTTTGATAAATATATAGATTTATGACCTGAAAATCCGCAAGTGTTTTGTGGATTCATTATCATCAACAACACAACAAAACAATGGAAAACATTCCAGTACCAAAAGATATTAAAATATTGGAAACAGTTGAAGAGATTCAAGATCGTCGTCGTACCGTTCTTGGTCATTATGATGCCTTTCGACAAAATTCACGTATCAAACGATGTAAACTTGAAGATTCTAAACGTTTTCAATATTTCAAACGTGATGCCGATGAATTAGAATCATGGATCAATGAAAAACTTCAAGTCGCCCTCGATGAATCATGGAAAGATCCAACGAATTTGCAAGCGAAAATTCAGAAACATCAGGCTTTCGAAGCCGAAGTTCATGCCCATGCTAATGCTATTGCTGAATTAGATGCAACTGGTAACGATATGATTTCCCAGCAACATTTTGCTTCCGAAGTTATAAAAGTGAGTAACCTAAATTTTTTTTTGCTGACAATTTGAAATAAAATTCAAATTCTATTTGTTGTACATAGCAACGATTGGAAGAATTGCATCGATTATGGGAAATGTTGATGATTAAATTGAACGATAAAGGCTATAAACTTCAACAAGCTTTCATTTTGGTTCAATTTTTACGTCGATGTGATGAAATCATGTATTGGATTAAAGATAAAGAAGCTATCGTTTCATCTGGTGACATTGGACAAGATCTGGAACATGTGGAAGTTTTGCAGAAAAAATTTGACGAATTTAAAAAAGATATGGCCAGTCAAGAAATTCGAATCAATGAAATTGATCGTGACGCTAATGATTTGATTCAAAAAGATCATCCTGAAAAAGAACAAATCGCTAAACGTGCTGCTGAAATTAAAGAAGCTTGGGCCCGTTTGATTGAACTTCGTCGAATTCGTGAAGATAAATTATTCGGTGCAAAAGAAATTCAACAATTTAATCGTGATGCTGATGAAACCATTTCGTGGATCAATGAAAAAGATGCAGTCATTTCACCTGATGATTATGGTAGAGATATGGCTTCAGTGTTGACGCTTCAACGAAAACATGAAGGTGTCGAACGAGAATTGGTTGCTTTGGCCGAAAAAGTGGATCAACTTGAAAAAGAAGCACAAAATTATACAGAAAAACATCCAGATCTTCGTGATCAAATTTTAATGAAATTGGAAGAAATTCGAAATGTTTGGTTAGCTTTGCAACGAAAATCTAGCGAAAGAAAAATACGTTTAGAACATTCATACTTGTTGCATCAATTTATGGCCGATTATCGTGATTTAATGTCCTGGATTCAAGATATGAAAACAATTATTGCCTCAGATGAATTGGCTAAAGATGTTGCTGGTGCTGAAGCACTTTTGGAACGTTTGCAAGAATATCAAACTGAAATTGATGCTCGCCAAGATGCAATTGTTAAATTTAAAAATTCTGGTGATGCGTTAATTGAAAAAAATATTGCACCAGAAGAAGTGCAGCAAAAATTGGATCAATTACAAAAAGAATATGATGCTTTGATAAATCTTCGTGAAGAACGTCGAATCCTATATGAACAATGCATGGATTTACAATTGTTCTATCGTGATACAGAACAAGCTGAAACATGGCTTACTAAACATGAAACTTTTCTCCTTAACGATGATTTAGGTGATTCATTAGATTCTGTTGAAGCATTAATTAAAAAGCATGAAGATTATGAAAAATCATTGGCAACACAATCAGAAACGGTAAAAAATTTAGACAATTTCGCCACACGATTAATTAATGGTCAACATTATGCCAAGGATGATATTGAAAAACACCGTCAAGCATTGTTGAAAAGACGTTCTGAACTGTTGGAAAAAGCAGCTAAACGTCGACAAATGTTGGATGATTCCTATCAATGGCAACAATTTGAAAGAGATTTTCATGAAATCAAAGGCTTGATTGTTGAAAAATTGAAAACTGCTAGCGATGAAAATTATCGTGATCCAACAAATATTAACGGCAAATTACAAAAACAACAACAATTCTCCCAAGAATTGAATGCCAATCAAAGCCGCATTGATGAATTTAATAAAAATGCCCAGAAATTAATTGATCAAAATCATTATGCCTCTCCAGATATTAAAAATCGTGTCGATGAAACGAATGAATTGTGGGCCACTTTGATTGATCTTGGTGAAAATAAAACTGCCAAATTACAACAAGCTGTCGAACAGCAGAAAGTTAATTTAATTTCCGAGGATATTGAATTGTGGCTTGCAGAAATTGAAAGTCAAATTGGTTCAGAAGATTTGGGTAAAGATTTGACATCGGTACAAAATCTTTTGAAACGTCATAATATGCTTGAAGCTGATATTGCCACACATCAAGAACGAATAAATGATATTGTCAAACAAACCAATCAATTCATTGAAGGTGGTCATTTTGATGCAGATGCTATCCGAGAAAAACAAAATGCTTTGGTCGATCGTTATAATAAATTGAAGATTCCAATGGAAAAACGTAAACGCCGTTTGAACGATGCACTTCAAGTGCAACAATTATTCCGTGACATAGAAGATGAAGAAGCTTGGATTCGTGAAAAAGAACCGGTAGCTAGTTCGACGAATCGTGGTCGAGATTTGATCGGCGTCCAAAATCTGATGAAAAAACATCAGGCTCTTATTTCTGAAATCAACAATCATGAACATCGAATTAAAGCTGTAGAAAAAACTGGTAATGATATGATACGAAAGGAGCATTTTGCATCCAAAGATATCAAACGACGTTTGACTTGGCTCGAAGAACAATGGAATGCATTGAAAGAAAGAGCAGCTCGTCGTAAACAAGAACTTGAAGATTCGTTGCAAGCACAACAATATTTAGCAGATGCTAATGAAGCAGAATCGTGGATGCGTGAGAAAGAACCTATTGTTGGCAGCAATGATTATGGTAAAGATGAAGATTCCACCGAGGCATTGTTAAAAAAACATGAAGCCATTATGGCCGATTTAGAAGCATTTGACAATACTATTAAATCATTGCGGGAACAGGCTAGCAGTTGTAAGCAACAAGAAGCACCAGCTGAATTTGTTCCTGGACGTGAAGCTGTTGTTGCTTTGTATGATTATGCTGAAAAATCTCCTCGTGAAGTTTCTATGAAAAAAGGCGATGTTCTCACATTGTTGAATGCTAGCAACAAAGATTGGTGGAAAGTTGAAATCAATGATCGACAAGGTTTCGTACCTGCCGCATACGTTAGACGATTAGAAGACAATCTTTCATCAAGTCGACAACATTTGGGCCAGAATTCGTTGCCAGCACGTCAAGCACAAATAGAAGCTCAATATGAATCATTATTGGCTTTGGGTCGTGAACGAAAACGTAAACTTGAAGAGGCTCTTCGTGGATTTCAGTTGGTTCGTGAAGCAGCAGAATTGAGTCAATGGGTGAAAGATAAAGAGCAAATCAATGTTGTCAATGATGAAGTTGGTGAAGATTTAGAACAGGTAGAAGTTTTGCAGAAAAAATTTGATGATTTTATGGCCGACATGAAAACAAATGAACTTCGTTTACTCGAAATGAATCAAATGGCCACACAATTGGCCGAGTTGGGTCAAGTCGAAGCGGCCAATAAAATTAACCAACATGTTGGAGATTTGAATCGAAAATGGGTCCAACTTACCGAAGCCACTCAGCAACGTGGCCAACAATTAGCATCGGCTCATGAAGTTCAACGATTTCATCGTGATATTGATGAAACTAAAGATTGGATTCGTGAAAAAGAAGATGCTCTCCAAAATGATGATTGCGGCCACGATTTGCGTTCAGTACAAACGTTGCAACGAAAACATGAAGGCCTGGAACGTGATTTGGAAGCCTTGTTAGAAAAAGTTCGTCAACTTGAAAAGACAGCCAATTCAATCGAATCAAAACATCCAGAGTCAGCTGAAATAACTCGAATCAAACAGATTGAAATTATGGAAATGTGGGTTAACTTGAAAAACAAAGCTGATGATCGAAAACGTAAGCTACAAAATTCGTATGAATTGCAACGATTCTTGAGCGATCACAACGATTTAATGGTCTGGATCAATACAATGATGGGATTGGTTTCATCGGATGAATTAGCTACTGATACTATCGGTGCTGAAGCTTTATTGGAAAGACATCAAGAATTGTCTTCTGAAATCAATGCACGTAAACAAACATTCCAGAATATTGAAGATTTTGGTCAACGTTTGATTCGTGAAAATCATTATGCTACGGATTTAATTCAGAAAAAATTGGAAGAATTATATCAAGCTTTCCAAGAATTGAATAGCTCATGGGATCGTCGCCAACATCGTTTGCAACAATGTTTGGATTTACAATTGTTCAATCGAGAATGTGAACAGGCCGAAAATTGGATGGGTAACCGTGAAGCATTCTTGAAAACACAGGATGATGATGATAATGTGGAAATTCTCATCAAAAAACATGAAGATTTAAATAAAGCTATCAGAATCCAAGAGGAAAAAATTGAAAATTTAAAAAAATTGGCCGATAAATTGATTGACAAAGATAACTATGCTAAAGATTCCATTAAATCAAAACGTGACCAAGTTTTGGATCGTTGGAATCTGCTTAAAGATGCATTGATCGAAAAACGTTCCAAACTTGGTGATTCTCAGTCAATTCAACAATTCTCTCGAGATGCAGATGAAGTGGAAAAATGGATTACAGAAAAATTACAAATGGCCACTGATGAATCATATAAAGATCCAGCCAATATTCAATCAAAACATCAAAAACATCAGGCATTTGAAGCCGAATTGAATGCCAACAAAGAACGAATTCAACAAATTTTGTCCATGGGCGATAATCTGATTGGCAAAGGTAAATGTGGTGATGGCGAAGAAGCTGTCCGAGACAAATTGATTTTAATCACCGAACAATGGAAATATTTGACCGAAAAAACAACCGAAAAGACCATTAAATTAAAAGAAGCCAACAAACAACGTACCTATAATGCTGCCATCAAAGATTTGGAATTCTGGTTAGCTGAAGTTGAATCATTGTTGAATAATGAAGATGTTGGCAAAGATTTAAATTCAGTGCAGAATTTACAAAAGAAGCATCAATTATTACAGGCTGATATTGAAGCCCATGAAGATCGAATTAAAGACATGAATGCTTTGGCTGATTCATTGAATGATGCAGGACAATTTGATAGCGATGTTATTAATGAGAAACGAAATGCAGTCAATGAACGTTATCAACGTGTATTGAATCTCGTTAATCATCGACGTAATCGATTGAATGAAGCAACAACCTTGCAACAATTTCTTCGAGATATTGCTGATGAAGAATCATGGATTAAAGAGAAACAATTACTTGTGTCTTCAGATGATTATGGCCGCGATTTGACTGGTGTTAAAAACTTGCATAAAAAACATAAACGTTTCGAAAATGAATTGGCAGCTCATGAACCAAATATTCAGGCTATCCAAGAAGCAGCGCAGAATTTAATGCTTGAATCTAATTTGGGCAAGCCAGAAATTGAAACTCGTTTACATGCTCTTGAACAATTCTGGTTGCGTTTAAAAGAAATGACGGCCATTCGAGAAAATAAGATTGAACAATCATTGTCTTATCAACAGTTTTTGGTTCGCATGGAAGAAGAAGAAGCTTGGATTTCAGAAAAATTACAACTTTTGAATTTAGATGATCTAGGCGACAGTATGGCATCGGTTCAAGGTGTCCGTAAAAAACATGAAGCCTTTGAAAATGATTTTGCTTTGCATAAGGAACGATGTTTGGAAATCATTGCTGCTGGTGATGTCTTGATCAACGAAGATAATCATCATGCTGATCAGATTATGCAACGACAGAATCAATTGCGTGATCGATTGAATCGTTTGGAAGATGCTGCTAGACGACATAAACAAAAACTTGAAGATAATCATGCCTATTTGGAATTTATGTGGAAATCCGACGTTGTTGAAAGCTGGATTGCTGATAAAGAAATGCACATTAACAACAATGATTATGGTCGAGATTTGTCATCCGTGTCTACATTATTGACTAAACATGAAACATTTGATGCTGGTCTTCAAGCATTCGAGCAAGAAGGAATTCAAACAATTACCGAATTAAAGGATAAATTAATTTCTTCGAATCATGCACAAAGTGACATTATTCATAAACGTTATGATAATTTGATAGCTCGATGGCAAGATCTACGTGCAGCTAGTGAAGCTCGAAAAGCTCGTTTATTGAAAGTTCAAGAACAATTCAAACAGATTGAAGATTTGTTCTTGACTTTTGCCAAGAAAGCTTCGCAATTCAATTCATGGTTTGAAAATGCTGAAGAAGATCTTACTGATCCTGTACGTTGTAATTCAATTGAAGAGATTCGAGCATTGTTGGATTCACATCAACAATTCAAACAATCATTGGTAGCTGCTGAAAACGATTTCCAAGCTTTGGCAGAGTTGGATAGAAGAATTCACAATTTCAAGGTTGGTCCTAATCCATATACTTGGTTCACTATGGATGCTTTGAAAGAGACATGGTTGAATTTACAAAAAATTATTGCTGAACGCGATGCTGAATTGGCCAAAGAATATCAACGACAAGAAAACAATGACAAACTTCGTCGTCAATTTGCTGCAGCTGCTAATGAATTCCATAAATGGATCAATGATGCTAGGTATGTTCTGATTTTTAGTATTTCAGATTTCGCTATAACTGCTTTATTTATTTCAAATTTAGAATGTGGCTTCTTGATGGTGGATCAATGTTAGAAGGAACAGGATCATTAGAAGCCCAATTGGAGGCAACCAAACGCAAAGCATTGGAAGTACGTTCCAAACGTGGTGACCTGAAGAAGATCGAAGAGTTGGGTGCTGTTCTTGAGGAACATTTGATTCTGGACAATCGCTACACCGAGCATACTACTGTTGGTTTAGCTCAACAATGGGACCAATTGGATCAATTGTGTATGCGTATGCAACATAACCTGGAACAACAAATACAGGCACGAAATCATTCCGGTGTGACGGAAGAAGCATTAAAAGAATTCTCGATGATGTTCAAACATTTCGATCGAGAGAAAAATGGAAAATTACCACATGCAGAATTCAAAAGTTGTCTTCGTGCATTGGGTTACGATTTGGAGGTGATACCACCAGGCGAACCTGATCCTCAATTCGAAGCAATTCTTGACATTGTTGATCCTAATCGTGATGGCTACGTTCAGCTGCAAGAATACATGGCCTTTATGATTTCTAGGGAAACAGAAAATGTTTCGACTAGTGAAGAGATTGAAAATGCATTCCGCGCTATTGCTACCGATGGTCGACCATATGTCACAGCGGAAGATCTTTATTCGGTAAGATTTCTTTTGACTTACATATTTATCATGGTTAACATTTATTTTATTCTCTATGCAGAATCTCTCAAAGGAAATGGCCGATTATTGTATGAGCCGTATGAATAAGGTTACTGATCCAAAAACAGGAAAAGAAGGCTACGATTATGTGGAATTCACACGAACATTATTCCAGATACAATAAAATCATAACTTACAGAGAAAACATTTGATCTAAATTATACAATTCCAGATATCACCGTGAAATTTTTTTTCCCACTTTATAGTAGATTATAAAAATTTTATTTAGACATTACAAGCAGAAAAAATAATGATTCCATATTTTATATTTTATCGTGTCATTAAAATAAAATTCGATGAATTTAACCACTATCCAGATGATTTGTCGTTGAATGAAAAAGCAACAAGTGTTTACTGCTTGTCCATTTCTATATATTAATAGTTTTGATTGAACCATGATTCATTGATCATTACGATTGCTCTGACTGATTTATTGTCATTTTTGTTTTTTAATAATCAAAATAAAAATGATACATAACATATTTTTCGACATAAAAGCACGAAAAAGTAAAGTAAAGTATATTTTTTCAATTTTGATTAATTTTGTGTTTTTAAAAATACATTTCTGCTCAGCAAAAAGAAATGACTACCAAATATCAGATCAGATCTATGAATCCATATGCCAAACATGCATTATCATCATTGCCGAAAATGAAATTTTCCGAAAAATTTACAACTTCATTATTCAAAGTAAAAATATTCGATTCAAGTATCGTTGTTGGTAATGGTATCAAATCGGTATGGCTTGTAGCCGATCGTTGGGGAATGAAATTGTTGCTCAACCCATACGATACACGGCATGCATTTAGAATCTGGCTCTGGAAATTAGATTGCTATCGACTTGAATTTCGACCCGATTCCAAACGATCATTGTATGTACGAAATTTTTCATCAAGATTTGAAATAAAATTACAATTCATCGATACAGGTGCTCGTTCACGTTTTCTGTGTCAATGTGAAAATCTTTTCCTGATTCGACGATTTGAAAAGAAAATTTCTGCACCCTCAAACAATCGATTTGGGAAGAAAAGTTTATTCAAAAAGAAGAAATTCTTTCATTTTATGACCAACTTTTTTTGTGGCTGTTTTTCGATAATGTTTTCACGTCATTATATCAACTATTATTACGAACCAATGTTTAGTCCATTTGAACAGATAAATCTTTGAAATTAGACCTGTCCATTAATCAGTTATTCGTTTTGATTGAATTTTTTTTCCATGTTATTGATTGAAATAATCTATTGTGTTGTTTGACTAATAAATGTTTGAGTAAATACTTGCACTACATTTTGAATTATAAATAATCTAGTCATTATAACAATTACGTAATGATTTTTCTGTTTTGGTTTTCTATGTGAAACTTTGGTTACCTATGGCAACATAATGGTGTGGTACACCAATAGTCAATTTTATTTCGTCATTATACTGCAACAAAATATTTTTCTCTTGGTTCAGAATCGAGTAAGCTTTAAAACTTGTTTATTGGAATGAAAAATGTCTTTATTACTGCAGTAATTTGTTTGTTCATTTTTATTTAATCAATACTACAGTGGCAAGAAGGTCGATTTGTCAAAAAAAAACTTAAGTCAATTATTCAAACCAAGCGACCCAATGAGCTTAGAAAATACAAACCAAGAAGATAACGAAGATCAAACCTGGGTATTGGATTCATTGGTTGGCTTTCTTAAAAGTCCACTATGGTCAACGTCTTTGAATGATTTTATTGATCGTCATTCAATCAGTGAGTTCAAAGTTTGATGTATTTTTCATCATTTACATTCTATCCTATTTATCCTAGTTTTTGATCCAGATGAAATAGAAAATGATGATGGAAATGTTCATCATCATACAGAATATTTGGAAATTTTCTATCAATATCGTAGATTGGTTGATCAATTGATTGGTTCACATATGCTTGAATTAGGGATCAATGAACAACAATTTGCTAAAGCATGTCAAATGGCTGAAGGAATGTTAGCCACTAAATTGAAAAGAATTTTATTCGAAGAACTTTGGGCAGCTGAAGATTATGAAGTTTTTGTCCGATTAATGGCTAAAAGAAATGTTGAATTACAATTAGAAGCTTTGGAAGTTTTGGTTCGTAAATATGGACTTGTTTATGATGTTTTTGTTCCAGTAGGAACGTCGCCAAAAAATTTCCTTAGTGAAGATCACGTTCTCCGTGAAGCTATTGTACGATCATTAAATGATATGGCATTGGATAATGAAAATAAAGAAATCAAAGATAACAAAAAGTCTTCATCACATGGAAAAATTATCAAGAAAAATGTTGAAGTAGATATTGAGACAAAAACATCGATTAGTGATGATACTCCAGAAGCCAAAAATGAAGAAAATGAAGATGATGACGTTGAAAATGAAGTGATGGATGAAACAACGGATAAAGAAACGGGTAGGATGACTCTTTAACTATAAATAAATTAATTAATGTCTTGATTTATATATATAATTAATAGTGCAAAGAGATGCAGTTAGATTGGTGGAAGTTAAGCAGAAATTTGATCAAAAAATGACCGAAGCACTACAATCAGCTTTCATGAATGATAAAACAAAAGAATCGATGGTTGATAATCGTGATCAACCTTTGGAAACTGTGCAGGAATCAAATGAACCAACAAAAGATTCTTCTATAATTATCAAACGAAGGGAACCAAGTATAAGCGCCGAAGACATTCATAAACGTGCGGATTATTTAAGAGCACAACGAGATAAAATATTGAAACAACGGCAAAAAGAACGAACTGAACGCATTTCAAAGTATTTGATCAAGGAAAAACAACAAAGACCAGTGACGGCTAGAAAATCGCCAACAGAAATGGAAGAATCGAATACAAATCAAAATGATACCACTGATGATATGTTGGCATTTCGTAAAAGTTTGGCAGCAAGATTGAAAGCCGAAGTTGTTCTTGGGTCGGGTACAGGTCCAGAATCGAAATGAATGGCTGAATAAAATGAAAATTTCCAATACATCCTTGGATCAATGTTGTCCATTATAAATCGAGCACTAATATTAGAGTAGATTTGTAGATGCACAAATAGAGAAATTTGAGCAAAAAATTAATCGATCCTTATCAGAACCTTTCCGTCCATATTTGAATAATCAACTGTGGGATTATTAAACATATAAAACAGAACACTTTGAGAGTGATTTTAAATAAAAATTTTGTTTTAATAAATCCAAGTTTCAAAAAAGATTTGGCTTAGTTTTGATTCATTATTTATTTAAATATTCTTTGTTTAACTCTCTTCCAATTAGCCATCTTCGTATTTCGCTTGTTCCAGCACCAATTTCATACAATTTTGCATCACGTAATATTCGGCCAGCCGGATAATCATTAGTATAACCATTGCCACCAAGCAATTGAATTGTATCCAATGCAATTTTAGTTGAAGCTTCAGCAAGTGTCAAAATAACAGCTGCACAATCTTTAGTATAAGGACTAGGACCAGGACGTTTATTATTGGGATTTTGTTTACGTTGATTTTTTTTATATTGATCTAATGCACGTGAAACATTATAAAGATATGCACGACACATTGATAATTTGGAATACATATCAGCTATCTTTCCTTGAACAATTTGAAATGATCCAATTGGTTTTGCGAATTGTTTCCGTTCGTGAACATAAGAGAATGCTAATTCACAAGCAGCTTGCATTAAACCTAAAGGACCACCAGATAGTACTAATCGTTCACTATCTAATCCAGACATTAGAATATAGACACCACCATCTATTTTGCCAACGATATTTTTTTCTGGAATTTTCACATTATCGAACAATAATTCGCTGGTTGGTGAACCTTTCATTCCAAGTTTATCAATAACTTGTCCAACAGAGAATCCTTCCATTCCTTTTTCGACCAAAAATGATGTGATACCTTTTTCACTTGTTTTGGCATAAACAAATACAACATCTGCCTCTGGTCCATTGGTGATCCAGAATTTATGACCATTCAAGACATAATAATCCGAATCTTTTTTAGGTTTTTTTGCTGTAGTTCGCATTGATGTTACATCTGAACCGCTGGTCGTTTCAGACATTGCCAATGATCCAACGAATGATCCATCGATTAAATGGGGTAAAAATCGAGCTTTCTGTTCATCATTGCCATGTAAAGATATTTGATTGATACAAAGATTTGAATGTGCACCATAAGAAAGAGCCAATCCACCAGCACATCTACTCAATTCTTCCATAGATAACACATGATTGAAATAATCTAAGCCTAAACCACCATATTCCACTGGAGCTGTAATGCCAAGCAACCCCATTGATCCTAATTTTTTCCAGAATTCACGAAAATCATTATAGCTACCATCGCGATCAATCTATGAAAAAAATTGATTGAAATATCGATAGAAAAAATTAAGAATCAAATTGCAACCTTTTTCACAAGTTCTTCGGGCAATTCTTTTTGAGCGAAATCACGAACCATTTGACGAAATTCCATTTGTTCTGGTGTCAATCCATGTAAAATGTCAGAATTCCAAGTTATACTTGGTGTACGATTTGCGACCAAATCATCGACAATATTTTCTGTTTGTTGATGAAATCGACGAATTGACTTGGTTAGAATTCGTTTGAAACTCGATTGAAACATTATGATATTGTCAACTAAATGACATGAAAAATCGTTCGATTATGTATATGGTCGTAGTGATTTCGATTATCTTATGTATCAGCATTATTTCCAATTGAATGTATCTTCATCGATGCTTCTTATTCGAGCTTCATGACAACATGATCAAGTGATCAAAAGTATGAGCAAAAAAAAATCAAGTCATATCAAATAGCTTGAAGCATACGATTAAGTATTTATTCATCATCTTTATGTGTCCTTGTCGTCATTTAATTGAATACACTCGTTTTTTGAAGAAATCTTGTTTGATAATTTTTTTCAAGATACGATCACTTTCAGTATTTTCTCATAGCTCTTGTTGATTTTTTTACTCAAATGATGGCGCCATCGTTTCATAATTGATTCATTTTCAAAATGTTTTTGTTCGTTTCGATAGTTTTTTTTTCATTATTATGTGCTTTAGGCAATTTGTGTAATTTCATTCATTGAATTTCATCAGTTAATAAAATAATCACAATGATTAGAAATGACAGGAAATTAAAATATTTGCTTAAACAAATAAAAAATATAATATATAAATAAATCACCATCATCAATTATTATAATCGCGATTTGTCATGGATATGATAATAATGGAATTTTCGAAATTCAAATTAATCAATGAATCCATTGTTTTGAATTTATCATTGTAAAGATAGGTTTCATATAAAAAAAGTTTAATCATAAAAAATAACTTTCATTTTCACTAGTCGGCATCGTTGTTTTTGTTGGGTTGATGGTACGTATTTTGTTTTTTGGAATTTGAATTAATGTTTTTTGTTGTCGTTTTTCTGATCTCAAATTCGTTCATCATTCGTGATGATATAGCTTCCGTTGAGTAAAAAAAAAGACGATATTCTCAAATACACAAAATGTTTGTTTTTAAACCACCGGATTTTTTTTTATTTCAAAATAAAAAAAATTTCGAACGGCCTAGGCCTAAAATATACAGTAGCACATTTCCAACAACAACGACAACAACATCTAAGAAAAGATTTATGGATTTTCTATTTTTTTCAGTGGCAAATATAACAACAACAACAACAACAAAAACGGCTAAACAAATAAGAACAATTGATGATGATGATGATGATGATGGCAATGTCATCATCATCGTTGTTGTCGTTTTTAGTCAAATAGTAGTCTATGTATTTGCGTACAGGCAGAATAATATAGACCGACAAACTAATCAGGAATCTTTTTTGTTGTTGTTTATTATGTTTATATATGCAACAAATTTAACATCATTTTTTTCTATCATCATCATGATAACAATATCTTGAAAGAAATATTTCATTTTTTTGTTTGTTTGTTTGGTGAAATTTTATTTTAATATTCTTTAAAACCATCTAGCTATTCTGCAACACAATAGTTGTTTTGTTTGTGTATAAATAATAATAATAATAGTGATGATGATCAGACAAAGTCTATAAACATAATTTATTTCATAATTTTGAATCACAAAATAACCTTAAATACACTATACATGTGAATTATATCACAGGACAGTGGCTAACCACAATGGAAAAACAAAAACAAAAATATAGCCACCAGAAAAGAGAAAAAACCAAATCATATATTACTTATGTATACATACTACTACTAATCATGTGTTTTAGATGATAAATAATGGCATACATACAACTCTATAAGGTAATTACTTTTATTTATGATGAAAAATGTGAAAAAAATAACATACAGCATTAATAGAAAAAAGAAAAAAGAAATTTTAGTGTGTATGAATATTGTGAATTTTTGTTGTTTGTTTCATATCTAAAATTGATTTTGAAAAGAATTGAATCTTTGAATTGTAGTGGCATCGTATCACATCCTTTGTTGTTGTTGTTTTTTTTTTGCTACCAATGTTGCTGATCATACTTTTCTTTACATTTCGTGTTCTTGTGTATAAGTGTGTAGGTCTTTGGATCTCTATAGCATGAAATGTGCCCAACTGAAAAACGCGAAATGGTATGAAAAATCCAAAAGAACTAAGAAGGTACAAAAAAATCGCCAATAATGATGACAATATTCCAAGAAAAAATAAATGCTCTGAATTCATTCATTGATTCATCATTGTAGAATGTGTAGAAAATGTAAAAAATAAAAAAAGAATTCTTTGCAACACAATAATCAAAAGACACAGAATAATAAGATGTGCTTTAAATAGATTTCTAACCGTCGACTAACAAAACTTCCGTTACAAACAAAATCTTTTTTTCTATTTCCTTTTCGTATTTGATGTTTCAAAAGGAAAGAAAAAATCCTAGTGGCTAAATCACAACCACACACATACACACACACACAAAACGGAAATGAATGTTGCATTCCAACACATTTTGATGTTATTTGTTTGTTTGTTTGGCTGTTTGATTTTATGTTAGTCAAATTTTTTTTCCCTGTGGATACGTGTATGTTTTATATTGAGATAGAAAGAGAAAAAAACAAGATAATAAAATTCTTTAATTGTAATCGGATTTTTTTATTTTTCCTGTATATATGGATTGTTTGGTTCAATTCCTCGGTATCGTAAGGTTCGATGACCGAAGATTACAGATTTACATGAAAAGGGACGAAATATTATATTCATTTTTTTCGCTGATTTAAAACTGATGTAATTGAATTTTCATTTTCATTTTTAACTTTTTATTTGTTAATGTGTTTTCTTCCGAATGAAAAGTTCCAAAAGAACATCCAAAAAACAGATTAAGCATAAAATTCAAGTCGATTAAAATTTTTTCATGTTCTTACTCACTCTCTCTCTCACTCTCTATCTTTATTTTTTTTTCTGGTCAAAAGGATACGATCATCATCATCGTAAGATGCCAAGTGAATGTAACCGATTCACTTAATACAGAAAATTTAATATGGCTCTTTAAAAAGATTTACAAAGTGTTTTGTTTTGATTTCAAACCAAATTCTCTCATCAACTGCCATAGGGAACCATAAATCTTTTGATCGATACTATAGAGCTTGGTTTATATAATAAACGAATTTTTTTTTGAAATAAAAGCTATTATTTTTTTTTTTTTTTTTTTTGATTCTGATATCTTTGCTTGCTCTTTGCTGTTGTTGTTGTTGTTGTTGTTTAAATTCATCTTTAAGATTCATAGCCGAAAATAATATCCTCGGCTACACATACACACACACACACACAAAAAAGAGAGAGATCTAATGATTAATCACAACGAGAAAAAAATTCTGATCACTGTTTCGTTGTTTTAGAGATTTGAGGATTTTTTTTCGCAAAAAACAAAACGAAACTACACCAAATAATGATGAAAAAATCATTTTTATAGTGATCAACACAATTTAAAGATGTGAAAAACTTTGCTCTGGGTCAATTTGTTATTTTTCTTTTCATCTTCAATAGAGAAAAAACAGAATAAACTTGCCAAAATTTTCCATTTATCGTCATTATTATTATCATCAATGGATGTATTTATTGAACTTTTTTTTAAGAATTCCAGTAAAGTACAACAATGACGAGCATTCTTATTGAAAATAGATTGTCGAAGGTCGGATCGGTTTGATTTTTTTTGTAACCTAATCAATCATTCTTTAAGAATTACTACCACCAAAAAACATGAGAATCTTGTTGTTCATCATTATCATTATCAACAGCGACAGCATCAACAGCAACAACAACTATACAGTATTTGTTGAAAAAAACCAAGTAAAAAAAGAAAAAAATAACGACTTCTTAACATCAATAAACAAGCAAAGAAAGAAAAAACAAAAAAAAAAGATCAAACGCACAAAATACAAGACTATGGAAAAAAAATAAATTTAACGACTTACGAGTATATGATACTGTTGTTGTTGAAAATTAGTATTAACATCATAGTGGTCCATGTCTTTTTGATGATGATAATGATGATGATGATGATGATGATGACAAATAAATACACTATAATGTTGTTATTGGTGAAAAGTTTGGAAACGAGAAAAAACCTTTTTTTCGGTTGTTGGCTATAATCTGAAAAAAAAGCAAGAAGAGAGGGGTCTTTTTCTCTCTCATCCATGTTAGATGAGTAATAATTTTTTTTTCTCTAAATGCATGTTTATATGAAAATAAAACGAATGAATGAACGTGAATAAATAAATTAACAACCATAAACATCAGCAACACACCAACACTAACAACATTGTACATAATCAATTTTTAATTAACACCTCTATTCCATTTTTAGAGTCTTTTCTTCACACATTTTATCGAAACATTCGATTTGTGCAGAAAAACTTCTGATCTGTTTCTTTTTCTTAAGTAAACAAATAAAAAAAAATCAAGAATTCAAGCTAAAAAAACAATGACCTTATCATTATCTCAATTTCTTACGATAAAGATCAATTCAAACGGACATTAAGTGATGATGATAATAATAATAAACAGCAACATCAATCTTCTGACAGTAACAATAAAACTGGACCACTAGGTTTAGAATAAGAAATTACTGTTATGGAATCATGAAACCTCAAACGAACAATGTGATGATAATTTCTCTTGAACTAAGAACAGAATCGAAAGTAATGATTTCATTTAATAAATTATTGAATAAATATATTGGAATTTACCAAGAATTCAATTATATAGAATCATATGTGAAAGCATTTTTGTTTTGTCCAACAACAATTTACAATGAATGATTTTCATTAATATTCAGGTAAGTAAGAGAAATATCTATAAAGTGTTTGGCATATAATAGGATTTCTGATTCTAATATTTTCACATTTTGATTATCAATTTCGATCAACACAAATAATAATACTTATTAGTGAATTTATGTGATCATTGGAATAATAATGAAAAATAAATGAAATGAATGGACAAGTCAAATTCTTAAATGATCACAAATAATAGTAATATGATCCTATCAGAAAAAAAAGAAACAAACAAAATAATGATGAGGATAATAAATAAGTACGAAAATGAAACGAAACAAAGAGAAAAGGATTATATGATTACATGAAATGAGATAGAAAAAAAAACTTTTCGTGTTTCGGTCCCAATGCTGAATGTGTAATTTCTTATTATTTTGCAATCAGGTGATGAATGAATGATTTCTAATAATCAGCAAAAACAGTAAATGAAAATGGAAAATAATTTATTTTCTTTGGTTTTTTAATGATAAATAATTACAACATATATTTTCATCATTTAAATGGAAACAAAAATATGAAAAACGAAAAAATTTACAAGTTTGAGGATGAAATGTGTCAACAAAACAAAAACATTAACAATCATGATGATAATTCGAATTGGATATCTATTTACAAATTATACAGCCACACACAAACTTAGACTTGGACATTCTCTTGTAGAATGGATATTTTTTTCCGCCATTATTGTTCATGCCTTCAAGTCATGTCAATTTTAATGTGAATCTAACAGTTTTTTCGTCGTATGTTTGTTTGTTTGGAATTTGAAATCCAAGACATTATTTTACTTATTGTGATTGTTCTTATTGAAGTATGATGATGTTTAGATCGTTGTGTGTAATCGAATTCAGTTTAGTTGAAGAAAAAACAACAGAAGCAAAAAAAAAAAGAAAAGCCCTGTAGGCAATGAATATAATAATAATAATCATCATCATATATTTGAAGACGTTCCCATAAGGCTCCCAGTATCATGATTGTGTATGTTTATGTCGGTGCAAGTGTCAATTGTATATTGTACCATTAACGCAAATCAATCAACATTTGGATGAAATTACTTTACTATAATGATGATGATGATAACAACGTTTTCCGTTATTTATTTTTTTTCACTTACAAAATAAATGTCATTATGTCTAGACTCGAAAAATGTTTGCAAACAAAATCAAATCAAATCCTCTGATTCCATTTGAGATCGATATTACAATAATTATAATAATGATGGTTCATCATCAAATAGTTTATTCAATATTGTTCGATGTATTGACTACTTTAGATGTTGCCATGGTTGTTGTTGTTGTAGTTGTTGGTGACGAATAGCCAATTGCCGATGATGATATGATCAGATGATGATGATGTTGTTGTGTAGACTGTGGTTGTGTTTGTTGTGATGGTATGTAAATATATGATTGTTGTTGTTGTTGTGTTTGTGATGAAGGTGATCCATTACGTGGTAAAGTACCAAATAAATGTGCTGCTGAATTATCGGAATATTGAGAATGATGACCACCACTACCACTAGCGCTTCCGTTATAATAGGCACCCGAATGGCGTAATAATGTAGATGTTCGCGATACTGATGATCCGCTATTACCGGTCGATAAAATCGTTGAAGCTGAATTTGGTTGTAATGATGACTGTTGACCATAGATAATCTGTTGTTGTTGATCTGTAGATATGATTATTGAACGGTTACCATTGCTGCCGCTTCCAACACCAATGGCTGAATTATCAATTGAATATTTTCGTAATGGTGGTAATTGAATAATGTTACCTAGGAGAAAAGCCAAGAAAAAACATGAACAATTTATTAATTACCCAAAAAAACCAAGATAAGTGAATCAGAAGAAAAAACACAACATTAATTCAGAAAAAACAAAAACAAAATGACCTTCGTTTATACTTGCATTTGAAAAAAAAATAATTCAAGTATTCATTAAACAACATTAACAATGCGAATTGACTGTGAATTGAGAAAGATAAGAGAAAAAAAACACAACAACAAATCAAAACCGAATGACAAAAGCAAGCAGCAACAACAACAAGACATCATTGAACATTACAGATTTTTTTTTCTTCATCACACGACATTTGTCCACAACAACAAAAACGAAATAAATTAATTTAGGTATTTTCTTGTTCACCCATTACATAAGGTTTATTTTTTCTTATGTTATGCTGCTGCTGTTCAACAAACGTGTGTATTTTGGATATTTCATTACATTTTGTTTGATTCATTCATTCATTCATTCATTTTTATTTTCTATTCACAAACAAACAGAAGAAAAATCTGTAATCTTCTTCCACTTTCATTTTTTTCTTTTCATTTTCATTTTGGCACAGATATCGTTATGGGTCGGTATGGTATTCATTTTCCAGTTTTCATTTCAGGTACATTAATTTTGTTAATTTGGTCCATCCTGGTTCTTAATATAAATGTATTTGGTTGGCTATTGACAACTAAAAAAAACTGCAATATAAAAAGAGAAAAAGAAATATTATCTATCGAGTTTGGTTGAGGTTTTTCCCAGAAAATTCTCGAGTATTCATAACAAGAGAATGTGAAATAAAAAGAGAAACAAAAAAACCACGATGATGAAAATGAAGATTACCCATACACAAACACACACAGACTGGCCAAACAAATGAATGGAAATGAAACAAGAATGCAACAAGAAAAAAAGATTCATTGAGCCTGAAGAATTTTTTTTTTTTTTTTTGGTTTTGGTTTTAGCCGGGAATAAATACCAGAAAGAGAATGAAAGACAAAGATAAAACAAATTTGTATTCGTTGTCGTCGTCGTTGTTGTTGTTGTCGTGGTCAAAACGAACGATTCATTTCTTTTTTTCAAGAGAACTAGAGATTATTATTATTATCAATGTAGAAAAAGAGAGAGAGAGAGAAAAATGCAGTTTTACTCTTTCAGATTTGTTTCATTTTCGCTACTGTTTTTTTTCTAGTCAATGAGGACCTAGTTATAAGTGAGAATGATGATTATATAATAATAAAATCCTATTCCTATTTCGATTACTTAATTTATTGAAATGGCGATCATTTCATTTTTTCATAGAAAATGATGGCGATTTGTAAGCAAAAAACCAAATGCCAGAATTATTATTATTACCTAATAAATGAATGATTATGGTAATAGAAAGATAACCAAGAAAAATGATAATAATTATCATCGTCATTTGTATGATTAGCGCTTAAATCAAATTAAATATAAAAAATTTAGCAAACAAATAAAATAAACATAATGAATAAATGGACAAAAAATCATTGTCGTTTCATGTTTCGTAAAATATATTTTTTTTGTCATCTGGTAAATTGTTTCAACTTGTTGTATATATGCAGATATGGAATATCCTACAAAAACATTGTGTGTGTGTGTGATAATATAATGGCCAGTTGTAGATATTTTTTTCTAACCCGATTTTCATTTCTCGTATTTTTTAATATTTTTCAAATTAAAAAAAAAAAAAAATGGGCATACAAATAAAATGAATTTCAACCAAAACAGAAATGAATGTTTCAAATAAATACGGAGATAGAAAAAGAGCAAAGAGAGCGATAAAGAGGAAAAGATGAAAATATCAAATAAAAACTTTCTGGACGGTTGGCCAGATGTAAAAATTTTTCATTTGAAAATAACATAACAACGACAACGATGGCGGCAATAATCATATAAAATCATAATAAATTTAATTTCAATTTTAATTAAAAATGCAAATTTTTTCCCATTTTACATGTGCCATACTTTGTTTTCATATTTGCTTGCTGAACAATAAAAATAAAAAAAAAAAATGAAATATTGAAAAAATAAATTTTGTTATTACACATGTTTCACTCGTCTATGTAGTTGGAATTTGACAAAGAAATATCCTAATGGATTGATGCCGAAAAAATTTCTTTAAACTCTAAACGAAAATATTGAGCCAATCTATGAAATCTGTCAACTTTTTTTTTAATTTTTTTTGTTAATGATGATGATGATGACCAATCGATACACTTTTATTTTCCACACACCCATATCGATGATGGACGTTGTCGAATATTTTCTGGAATGATGTACGGAAACAAAAAAAAATTTTTTCATCCATATTTTTATGAAAAAAAATTTTCAACTTGAATATGTAAACAAAATAAAAACTGAATGAAAGGAATCAACAAACACACACACACACATAGATAGTGAACGTGAATCGATTCGAATGAATGAATTTCTCACACACACACACATATTCAACTTTCGTTCTTTCACTCATCTTTTTGAATCTATTGTTGTCCATATTTTATTCAACTGTTTTTGTTGTTGTTGTTACCAAATGGAATAGAACAGAACAGAACAAAAAACTCTGATGGATGTTTAGAAGTTTGAAAACTTTTTGGCGTCATCAAATCAACAACAGCAATTTTTCTACCATACTGTAAAACTAAAATAGATCAGGCAAAAAAAAGCTGATGAACGAAATATGATCCCCTTAAATAATGAAAACTAACAACAACAGCAATGATAATAATAATAATAATAACAGGAATCATCATCCCAAGAGATAGAATGATTAATTGAGTCAAAAATGAACAAACATGAAAAAATTGCAAGGAATTTGTGTGTGTAGGACAACACACACATATGAAGCAAATAAACGTTTCGATTCCAGGCAAATAGTCATGTAATCCATATATACACAATATGAATGAATTCATTCAAAAAAAGCAGAATTTTTCTTTTTCCAATTCTATTGAATGAAAAAAAAGAGAAAAATCTTCACTTTTATTTCACAATTATCATAACGGCCACGGTCATATCCAGCACCCCATCACCACAATTGAAAGAATCGTGTGGTCCAGCATAATGATGTGGATTTTTTTTCTTTTTTTTGTTGTTGTTGTTGTTCGGTCAATTGTATATTCACATGTGCATGAATTGAAAGCGACAATGATTTTTTAGTTTGTGAAAAAAAAATTTTCATTTCATTTTCAATACACATACTAAATGTAAGTGTGTATGACAAAGATCAGTCATATATACGGGGGATTCGTAATTATTTTGATCCGAACAAAAACACACACACATTTAATAGAAGGCGGTGTGTGTTAGTAAAGTACGAATACGAATATATGAAACCTAAAACCCTCAAATATAACACCAGCACCGAAAATTCCAAAAATATATAATCATGAATCCATGAAAATAAAGAGAAAAAAACAATGGAAATGAAGAATGATGATAAATGATAATAAATATCAAAGATATATAAATAGGTTCATTGGTCATTTTTGTTGTTGTTGATGTTGTTGTTTTGTATCGGTCAAATATACAACTATACAAGGAGGCACAAGAGAGGAAATATTTATTTAAACAACAATATCACGTATGTGTGTGTGATAGTCATATGTCAGTTTTCTGATGTTAGTAATCAGTCATTTTTTTCGGTTATAACTAAAACTAACTAGACTATATAAATGGATCCTCTTTCGCTCACATTAAAACATGATGAATTTGAAAATTGGCCAATTGCAGGAGAAAAAATTCATTACTATAATGATAATGATATGTTGTTGATTGATTAATATGAATTCACTGGCAAACAAATTATTACTCATTGTCAATCGTATAGTAGCATTTTTATTTCTGATGTTTTTTACCAGATGATTTCATAAAATCAGAAAATTTGATGCCTGTCAATTTTTGTCGTATACTACGAGAACGTTTACGTCTGTCGATTGTTTCTTTCAATCGTACCATCAATGAATCTTTTCTTAAACTTTCTGCACCAGTTTTTTTAACTTTATTAATAGATTCTGATTGTTCTGCATCTTTTATAATGTTTATCTTTTCATCAAAACTAACACGTTTAGATGATTTGGATTTTGTTGTTTTTTTATTTGAACTTTCATTTTTTTCTGAACTTTGTTTGTGACGTTTTCGACTATTGCTACGATGATGGTGATGGCGATTTCGATGATGAATACGTTGTTGTTGGTGTCCAGCTGGATCATGATGACGATGATGACGACGTTTGTTGGACGATGATGATGATGATGATGAAGATGAGGATTCTGATGCTGATTCTGATGAAGATTTTGTTGATGATGATTTATTATTATTTGTTTTTGTTTGTGACATTTCTTTATTCAACTTAATCATATCTTTGAGCCATGGTCGTGTTTCTTGAGTTTTTTCAGTAGCAGAAAATGCCGATATCGTTTCTGGTAATTGTTGCTGTGTTGTTGTTGTATTATTCATTACGTCTATCGGTCGATCAACATCGCCATTGATCATCATACTTTTTCTATGGGTTATCGAAATGGATAAATCATCTACAGGCAAACCAAATGCCTTTGAAGTAGTCTTTCTTAATGATTGTGTAGTTGTTTCACGTTCCAATGGTTGTTGTTGTTGTTGTTGTTCCTGCGGTTTCATCATTGCTACACTATTTGATTTGAAAGGACGTGGAATATTAACAACTTCAATCACTTTGAATATTGGTGGTTGCGACACAGATTTTTCTCTACGAATTTCAGATTTTTTAACTTCAATATGTTTCAGTGATGGAGATTGCTTGATAACTTGTTGTTCTTGCTGTTGTTTTTGTTGACTTTTTTCCATTACAATCGCAGACTTTTTCAAAGACCATTTAGGAATTATCTTTGAAATGATTGATTTTTTCAATCCTATTTTCGATTTAGGTATATCTTCGGTGATGATTTTGGATTTGATTTTTTCTTGAATGATCAACGATTTTTTCACCAATAATGGTATCGGACTAGTTTTTATCACCAATTTTGGTGGTTGTTCAGTCATCATCATCATTTGTGATTTGGTTTTTTTCTCACCAATATCCAATTTAATTTCTGGCAATAATTTAGGTAATAGTTGTGGTGAAGAACTCTTTTTTATAACAATATCAGATTTTATGATTGGTAATGATTTTTGCATTTTTTCATTTTTTTCTACATCGCCAGAGCGTTTACTACTGACAATCTGACTACCGATAACAATCTTTGGAATCTTATCCAATATAGGCATAATGGTGTTGGTAGTTTGTAATTGCAATTGTTCAAGAGGTTTTGTTTCATTTTCTTTAATTGAAGGTATTTGTCGAGATTTTCTTTCACCATCAGGCGATGAAGATTTCCGAGATCGACTTGATCGACGACGATGTTCATTTGATGATGATTTATCATGTCGAATTGATGACTTATGTCTACTTGATGATTTATGTCTATTACTATGAAGCGATTTTGATTTCGATTTACGACGATCACGTTTTTTCGTAATTGTCACTTTTTTTCTTCGTGAAGTTCCACATAAATTTCCCATATTTTTCTTTCTTTCTTTCTCTCTCTCACACGCACACACTTTTTTTTACTGGATACGAATAAAAATTGAGAATCGAAATTTTTTTGAATAAATTTGTATCAAAATTTATAATCAAATCGATAACTAAATTATTTTTGTTCTGGTTTGTTCGAAATTAAATTTTTGCAATTTGAAAATTTTCATTTTTGTTTAGATTATGTTGAAATAATAATCGCAATAATTAATACACCATCATTATTGTCCACCAACAAACAAACAAAAAAAAAAACGAATAGATTTTGAACCAAAATGATTGAATGTTCATCATCATCATCATCATCATTATAATAATCATCGAGAACAGAAATGGAAATATTTCATTTATTTTTCGTTGGCGAGTATTTTGTGTTTTCCATGTTTCAAATTTGCTTCAGTTTCTTTTTTTCTTTCTGTAATATTCAATGTATATTGATTGTTCATTTTTGATCATTATATGATATATATAATCGTAATAATCGAATTGAGGACACACACTCAAACACAAAAAAAAGATGTTCGGAGGCCAAATTTCTGAATTGGAGTAGATCGAATCTTATCATTATCATCATCATTTGATGTGAATAAAGAAGCAGAGAAAAAAAACCAACCATCATCATTTGGTTTGGCTTTCATCATCCATAAATGATTCTTGAAACGTGTTCAGTACTGACTGGTATTTTTTCTGGGGTTTAAATTCTAGTCAAAATGATACATAGAAAAACATTTCTCTGTGCATTTGTGCAATATAAATTATGTATCGAAAATTCAGTTTTTTTTTTTTTATTACAAATCAACATTATTTCAACAAAACAACAAAGTAGTGTTTCACACGATATTTTAAAAAATGGAAACAAAACTGATCATCAAGAATTTTTCCATTACAGATATAGAGAAAACTCAATAATCCTAATAATAATCGATACTAATGATCATTCATTTTCGAATCTTCTATTTTTAAAAAAACACTGTTTGTTTATTTGTTTTTTTTGTGTTAAAAAAATTCAAGACCCATTCCGTTTATAAAACAATCGACTACCACATTGAAACATTCGATCGATTCATAACGGGTTTTTTCTTTCTTTCTCAATCATCTCCAAATAATTTGAAATAGAGTAGATAGATGAACAACAGATGAATGTAGAGTAATTATCGTCTGGCAACAGAAAAAAGCCAACGAATAAAAAAATCGATATGAAATTGTCTTGTGTAATGTGTGGACTTATTTTTTTTTGATGAAACATTTCAAATTCAATTTATTGTCTTTAAGATAACTATTGACATTATCATAAAATGATGACTATATATGAATCTTGGTGCGTAAATTGAAGTGAAGGAGAAAATGGCAATAGAATAACAATAGTCTGACCATTATGGTCTTTATAGTAATTGTGTTCAGGAATAAATGATAGAGAGGAAAACAATACCTTGAAGATATATTTATTTATTGAGAAACAAAACAAAAGATCAAACTAACTATCTATTATTATCTATTGGTCAAGAATTGCCCTAATAAATTTAACCAACTGACTAGCCAATATCAGAGTAATTCTAAATTTAATATTCGAGAAAGAAGAGAAAAAAGTTGAATAAACGTTCCACAAAACTTTTTTGGCACATCAAAACGAAATTATTGAACAAAAGGCAAATTCAACCCGAGAAGCCATAAATTATAAAGAAAATTATAATTGTAGACCAAAAAATATTATTATTATCATCATCAAATCTTTTATATTTCGATAATATTGAATATCAGTGTGATAATTTTTTTTTTTGATTCTTGCTCATAAAAATGTATTTGTATAGTAAATCTCAATATGGAGATATGGATAAAAAATGTTCTGTGCGTGGGGAGAGACATGTTGGCCATCGAGCCTGACCAATGGACATATAATAAAATCCATAATTGTTTGCTAATCACTTATTTATGATATCAAATACACATGCGAAATAAACATTAGTGAATCCATTGTGTAGTAATATGGTTACATTGTAACCATGATATCAGTGCTAATCATCATCATCATCATCATAGGGCTATAACTAACCCAAACCGATCATCAATATATATGAATTCCAATTATTATTATCATCATTACATGCAACAATAATAATTATCATTATCCTTTGTCATCATCATCGTGAATCGGAGATGAATTTTTGCTTGTTTGCTCTAACCAATTGAATTTTTTTCTCGTCGTGTAATAAAAAAAATTCATTGATAATAACAATAATAGGAGTGTGCTGTGAAAATCATTAAATTTTTCATTTTAAAATTTGAATCCACTAACCTGATAGTTGATCAGTGGATGTTGATCCATTATTCGTTGTCGATGTTGCATTATTATTAGATTGGCCGAATGAAATTGTATCAAAAAATTCTTGTGCATGATGATGATGATGATGTGATGTTGATGTTGGTTGATACATAACATTTTGAATAATATCCGGTGGTGCTGCCGCTGCACCTGAAGGCAAAATATTCACATAGGCAGTAGCTGTAGCTGCGGCTGTTGTCGATTCAGAAGATGCTGATGTTTCCGTTAGATTTAAATCATAATAATTTGGTGGTGCAGCATTTTGTGTTGCTGTTGCTGTTCGTTTTGTTGTCAAAATGGATTTATAATATTTATCCGAATCATTTGTCGATTGTATAAGTTGATGATCAGAACGCATTGAGCTATCATCATCGGCACCAATAAGATCCATTCCATATCCATTGGCTCCACCACCGACAGAATTTGCATTAGCAAATTCAACCAAATCCATTTGGTTATTACGGATATGGTTACCATCCATGACAACGTCATGATGATGATGATGATGATGATGATGGCCATCATCGTCGTCGTCAAAATTAGTTTCACTAGTCAGGAATGTCGTTTCTAGTACATGATTATTATTCAAACTTTGATTTGAACGTGACAATCTTTGCTGCTGCTGTTGTTGTTGATTTTTTCGTTTAAGTGATCCGGAATTTTTGTTTCCAACCGTCAGTGAATCATTATTATTTGTAGCAGGCATTTGTTGTAGTTGTTTTTGCTTCTGGATATGTATCAGCTTATCACCCAACATAATCAATTCGTTGGTATTGTGGCATATTTGTTCATTTTCATTAACCATAGTTTGTTGTGTTCGTCCTTTACTATGGTTCGTTGTTGAATTTTCATTCTGTCCTTGACGATGATTAAACAATGAAGGATTTTGTTGCTGTTGATGATGACGTGAACGTAAAATGGCTATAGTGATCAATATAATTGCTATAATGACAGTGATAGCTACGGTGGAAATCATCAAACCAACAACCATATGTTTGTTACGGAATCGTCCATAACCACCATATAATTCTTCGAAAAATGTTGAATATGATTTCCTGCCTCGTGCAGCATGTTGGCCTTGATGCCCCTCGTAATCGATACGACGTTCAGCTGCACGTAATGTTTTTGCATCCAATTCTACTTGCATTATGGAACGTTTACGATTATTCTGTGCATAGATATTCACACGCAATGGTGTATTCGATGGTAGTTCATCGACCAGAAAACTAAAGCTCCCATTGAGCAATGGATTCATAATCCGTTTACCGATAGCATCGATAGTTAGATTCTATGAAAACAAAATTCAATTGATTCAAAACTTGAATAAACAAACAAACAAACAGTGTTTACCTTGATCAATGTAGGTTTCGGTGAAAGTGAATAAATTTCGCATATATAATACGTTGGTGGATAGACTAACAAATGTGGTTGCAGATTTAATGGATGTGAATTGAATTTTGTTACCAGTTCATTCAGGAAAAGCATCGATGCGGCAGCAGCACGTTGTGGCCCATTGGCTGGAAATGGACCGACGCCATTCCGATAAGTTACTTTGATCGATTGACCGTCTTGATCAGTATTCGGCATATTAGATGTGCCATCATTGTTGTTCATATTGTTTCCGGTGACGGCCGTCTGTGGTTGAAGATCCGGTGCAAAATACATTGCATAAATATCTGATGTGGTCAAATTAGACAATAAACTGGCAACAGAATCGGAAATTTGTTCCGGTCTTTGATTTTTGTAACTATTGTGAATATATTTCAATTTAGTTGTCGATGATGTTATATCATCATCATCATCACCACCACTTCCGGTATAACTGGCATCTATTTCAGAATTTAATTCGTCCAATTCATCATCCGAAATATTGTTGCCATGTTGTTGTTGCTGTTGTGATGACAGCCATGAGGTAGCATCATAATGTTTATTATTATTATCAGAAATTGATGATGATTCCGTAGTTGAATAGGAAATATTACCCGATAAAAATGACCCATCACAACGTATTGAAAGTGTTGAATCACTTTGATTTGAAACTAAACATTGATAGGGAAAATAAGGATTGGCAGACGGTACGATAAGAAATTGACATGGTTCACGTTGTATTCCGATTGAATTTTTTGCTGTACATTCAATAAGGCCATATTGGTCTCGTGTACGAGGCACATATTCTAATATTGATCTACAAATGTTTGAATGAGAAAGAGAAAAAATTTCCAATCAGTTTCATTCTATATTTTCTATTGTTGTTCTTGAATTTGAGGATGTACCACCACCACCACCACCACACAAATTTATAAGGCAATCACCATAATCAATCTTTAATGATTCGTAAATTTTCAATTTAAAATCCATTTCTGTTCAACTAAACACAAACATACATCTTTCTCTTTCTATTAATAAAAGAAAAAAAGAAATCAGCTTAACTTATGTGTGTGTGAGTGTGTTCATAAAAAACGTTTAGCGCTTTATTGAAAGTCATTTTTTCCAATAAAAATTTGGTGTTTGGATTGAAAAATTTTTTTTTCGCTTTCACTCTTTTATTTTGTATTTTGTATTTTGTATATTGAAGATAACCAAACAAAAAGAATGAAAATTTGAAAGAACAATATTGGCTCCAATATTCGAGCCAACAAAAACAACAACAATGTAATGAAAAACAAATTTATAATAAACGTGGTATTAATTGCATCATGTGTGTGTGTTGTGTTCAATGCCACTTTCATAGAAGAAAAAAAAAAAAAAATCTTTTCGTGCTAAGACTAGATATCTAATGTTGCTGACTCTAATAATTCTTGAGAAATGTTTGTTTTTCTTGCACAAAGTTGATCTCAGTGTGTGCGTGTGTGTGTGTGTGTGGGTTATGAAAAAAATGATGCTTTCACAAACAAAAAAAAATTCTTCCAATTTCGGTCAATGCCGATATATTGGAATATAATTCTAGCCATGTTCACTACTACTATCATCATAATCATCATTATTATCAGCTTGTCATTTCTTGTGATTCTTTCAACTGTATGTTATTTTTTTCACCAGAAAAAAAAGTATAGATAGAACGAGGTGGTCATTCACGTCGAAAGTCAAGAAAAAAAAAAAAAAAAGAGAGAGGTTACTTACTTGGTTTCATTGATCACAATAAAATTGGCTAAATTAGTATGTTTCTCGAAACGCCATTGGAATGAAACATCCGCGGTTGGTCGTGCTTGGACTTCGCATCCGATCTGGATGATTTCGTTCAATTGTAAACCGTAAATCAATCTGTTTGTGTCATATATATATTGAACAATGAAAAAAAAAAAAAAAATTAGATCAAATTGTTTTCCATCTCTTTTTTACACGAAAACACACAAAAAACAATGTCTGAAAATCATTGGCGAATGATTTTCAGTCATTACCACCATTGAAAACAAAGTAGTTTTTTTCATCTAGATAATGAAAGTTTCAAAAAACAAATTCCCCTTTACTTAAATTCCAATGATGATGATTGTAAAACTTCAATCATCAGACAATATAAAAACAATAGGATTTAATACACATTTTGCAACAATCAAAAAGAAAAAGATGAATCAGATTATTATTATTATTATACTGCTGTTATTATAGTTTAATTTAGCTTCATTTCAAGAAAAAAAATACAAGAATTTTATTCTACAAACACAGCAATCAGAAAAACATTCTTTCTAATGAATGATGATTAATGAGCCACCAATTACACATTATACTGTTGTTTTTCTCACTCTCTCTCTCTCTTGGTCAATTTCGAGATAATATCTGTTATTAAGTCATGGATAAAAAACATTATTTTGCTTGTTGTAAGGCCATTTATATCCACAGAATAAAAATCAAATTGAAGAACAAAGTTAAAACGTGTCAAAATCCAAAATGACTATTGATACGAAATAGTTGAAAAAATTTCACAATAAATGAAAACAAATTAAACAATGAAATTCTATCTGTATCAATGGTATATTTTTACCAAATCGCAAATTTTTTTTCTTTGAGACAAACTTTCAGTCGCATACAAAAAAAAATCTAGCATGTTAATAGAGTTGAGTAGATTTTGTTTTCTAAACTCACTATTTGAACACAGAAATAAGAATTGGGTCAATCTAACTCACTGGAAAAATGGCTAGTAGCTATAGACATATATACTAATGGTGATAAAATAAAAATAAACGTTCAATAGATTTGTAGTGAAAGTAAACTTGAAACAAAACATCATAAACAGACGTATATGGGAATGTTTCTTTTGTTCTACAGCCATCATCAAGATGAGAGAGTGTTAAAACTTTGAAAGACAATCGAAATCAAAAAGAAAAAAAGTAGAGACTTCACAACAATTGAATGTTGTGTCAACCATGTTCATGGTGAACTTTCCAATTTTGTTTTTTTTTTTTTTTTGGAAATCAAAAATTACAGAAACTAAATTTCGATTCTTGTACTCAAATTTCTTCGATTATCATCCAAAACATAGAAGAAGATCAAAAACAAACACAAAATGTATGGAACATGTACACAGTGTTTTGCTTTTTTTTCACATCTAAACATACAACCTGCAATCAAAAACAGAAGGACAAAAAAAATAGCACCTTGATGCAGAACGAAATATTGTTGATGGGTAACCTGATTTTTTTCCTCTTTTAATTTTGAGGCATAGAAAAAATTTGTGATCGAATTTCGTTATGATGTCAGAGACGTTTCTGGTAATAGAATGAGAGAAAAAATGTCAAACATATTCTTGCCATTTTTCAATCGACTGAGATTATAGGGTTCAAATGTTGGTAAGGAAAGTTTTTTTTTGTATATATACAGGTACACATTAAATTACACACATGCGAACATTTTCTATAAGAATTTCAATTTAGAATTAACATATTTTTGCTCAAATGGAATATAGGTGATATGTTGGTTAATAATGAAAAATAAAATAAAATAAAATAATTCAGGCAACACAATGAATCATCATCATCAACAAGATCAAAAGGGAAAAAAAAGTTTTCCAAGTCAGCAATCTCAAGACTTTTAATAACCACATAATAATAATAACTCGTCGCTAGCTCATCGACCAGAAAAAAAAGTTTGTTCCAAAATTAGCTGCAAAAAAAAAATAATGATAACGATAATGTGATAAGAGAGGGAAAAAACTTCCAGATACAACTGTCGCATGCACGTATGCCATGAAACAAGGAATGAAATACTTGGTTTTCAAAATATTGTCACATTAGAATTGTTGTTACAATACAAATCTATTTAGTTGTTAAGTTAACTTGAACTTTTTCTAAATCAACAACAATCAAATCTATATAAGTGTGTATACTAAACATCTTTAAGAATTTTAAAAAAAGTTAAAAGTAAATGAATATTTCCGGTCAGTCAAACTTTGTAAATATGGTTTCGTATTTTTTGTTGTTGTTGTTGTTGTTGCATGAAAAAAACAAGAGAATAAAAACGTTGAACAAACAACAAAACTATAGCGAAATATGTCAACGACAAATTCCATGTGCAGGCAAAATAATTGATATGATACAGAATTTCTTTTTGCGAAACCATGAAAAAATAACCACTACTACCAACAACCAAATATCATTGACAACATTTGTGGTTTTATACAAACACACACACAGAGAGAGAGAGAGAGAGAGAGATTCTTATTATTTATTGGTATTATAAACTATAGCTATACTACAAATGCAAATGTGAAATTCTGTTCATGTCATCAACATCATCAACATCATCATCATAATCATCATTGCTGAATATTAGGTTTCTTATAGTCCGTTTTCTATCATACATTCACCAATATGAATATTCTTATTGTTTTTTTTTTTTTGTTGTTTACTGCTGCCGTTAACGATCAAACATTTTGAATCCATATTCTTTCCGGTAAGTTTATTTTTCTTGTTTACGTCGTCCAAATTTATATATCTAAAACAGCAGCAGCATCATATATATGTGCAATGGATGGATAGTAAAATCATCAAATACATATTTATGTACATACAAATGGATTAGACAACAACAACAACAATAACAACAACAACAACGCCATGGAGAAAAAAAACATGGAAACAAACTTGGAAATAAAAATGAAATGACTTGAATCTGTGAGAGGTGGACTGAGATCTGAAATAAAAAGAAATGCAAACACACATTCCTTTCATGATTTAGTCTGGAAAAAAAAGAAATGAAAACATTTTGTTATTCACTGGTCATCAAAGTAGAAAGAAATTTTTTTTCTACAGAAGAAAAAAAAAAGAGGAATGTAAATTCTATTTTTTGGTCGATTCTTCCGTAAAAAGAACTTTTCAAATTGAATATTTCATATACACAACATTTACCAATATGTGAATCATGTACTAAACACCTATAGAGAATGTTGAATACATGATATCCACACACGCAACCATCATTGATATGTTGTCAATACCAATCCAATGGCCATCACTATTTCTTTTGATTTTTAGTTGATAGAAATTTTTTTTTTCGCTAAATTTGACAATGAATCAATGATCAATGAATGATGAAATAAGGTGCATGTGATACAATAATGTATTCAATACATACTATGGTTTGATCTGAATGAATGGAAATGCTATACGGGCTACACACACATATAAAATATATGTGTTGAATCTGAAATTCGCATTGAAGATGAAAAGCAAATAATAATGAAAAAAAAACTTATATAATGATGATGAACAAAAGAAGCAAGATGTCCATGCTTTGTATTTTGATAAAATGAGGAGAAAACATTCTCATCATTGCTGGCAATATTAGTATTGATTCGAAAGCCATAGAGAAAAATACAAATAGAAAAATGGCAAGTGAAAAAAAATAGAATAAAATAATGAAATGAGCTTGAATTAGTTTTGAATCAATTCCTCAACATTTTTGCTTTCTTACTACATTAAACCAGAAAATTCTTAGGAATTCCTTGCAAAAAAAAAATGTAAAAAAACCTTGTCTAGAATAGAATACAGTTTAAACATGCACACAAACACCTATGAGAAACCAATGTATATATGAAACATTGGTTTCTCATAGAAAACAAATAATTCAATCGGAAATTCTATAGAAATGTAATGGGAACTTTGTTTTTAAAAATTTAAAATACATGAAATAAACGAGCAAAGGCGTTTCAAGAGAGAGAAAAAAAAATTCTTGTGATAATCTCAATGTTCCGTGGAATTTTGTGGAAATTACATTACACGTTTGTTTTTTCAGGGATCTTTTTTCATCTTTAAATTATTCGGCATGAATGAAATATGATTCTCAGAGGTAATTTATACACGCATACACTTGGAATTAAAATACGAAACAAAAAAAAAAAAAAAAAAATTGATGCATCTAGAGAAAATTTTTTCCGGGACAAACAAATCAAACAATGGCAAAAACAAAAGACATCAATGTTAATGTTTTTTTTTTCGTGGAATGCAATCAAAAACACAAATCATACATATGATTGAAGAATAGAAAAAGAAAATATGTAAATATCATCTTGTATTCATCATTGTACTCTGTTTTTCAACGTTTCTTCCTGAATTGAATGAATATTTCATCATTATTTTGTGTGATGTTCGCCTTTAATAAATGAAAAATATTTGCTTTTTGAAATTGAGTTGTGAACATCAAAGAAAAAATCAAAACAAAGTAAACATAAAATAATGAAAATTAAATACTTACGTGTATGGAATCTTGCAGACCGGTGCAAATTTGATTTCCAAATGTATTTCATTACTAATCATTGTCCCTTGTTGATTAGAACATTTACATTGATATGTTCCATTTCGCCATCGTGGAACACGTTGCAATACCAATGATTGATTGCTCTCGATTACTCCTGGTTTATTATTGCAAGATTTGTGAAAAATGTAAAAAAAAAAAAAAAAAAGCAAAACAGAAACATGAATGAGAAATGAGCCACATGATAATTTTTTTTTCTTTTTTTTTTCTGTTGGGCAACAATATCAACAAATAGAGGAAAAAGACAATGAAAATTTGTTTTAAGCTTATTCGACAATTTGGTTAAAATTCACAGAAAAACACACTGTATGTAAATCAGACTTATACGTATGAGATGCAGAATTTTCTTCTTTTTTTTGCACACAATCTCCTTCATCTAAAAATCATCATTCGAGAAAAGAATTTCAATTTAGTCAACAACAACACAAACAGAGAAGAGTATATATTGAGTGTTATATATAAAAGTTGCAAAAAAAAATTGTGTCTACAATGTCGAGATTTTCTTTTGTGAAATTCGCCATTTTTTCATCCATCTTGAAATATACTGTGATTCCAACATATTTATATGGACAGATTCTCATCGTATAACAATGAAAATATGTCCTTATAATTATTTTTAACTCTGGCATATTCCATTACACACACACACAAAGATGGCAAAGAGAGAGAGAGAGAGAAAAAAAAAAATGAGAAAATTAATTCCAACACAATATATATTAAATCTAATATGTAATGTTGTAATGTTGTGAAGAAAAATGCCAGAACAACAATAAACGGCACAAAGATAAAGTGTGAAAAAAACATATGGATGGAGAAAAACAAAACAGAACCATCTTGAGAAAAAAAAACTAGAAAGGCAAAGAGAGAATTGCGTGAAATCGACAAAAAATAATGGAAAATGATAATAATTAATTTAAAAGATAAACAACAAGCCTTTTTTTACTGGTCAAAAAAATCGAAAAATCTAAAATGCAAAAACCAAATATAATTGCATTTCACTCTTTATTACATTTGCGTTTTGTGTTTGCAGTGAAGCGAACTTTTTTTTTGCCGAAAAAGCATAAAATAATATTAAATTCACTGGAACAAGGATATTTTTCATTTATTCAAAATTGAAGATTTCCAAAAGTTCAAAGATTTGGTCAATTATCATGTATTAGAATTTATCGATTTAGCAATAGCACTAGATAGATCAATGGGTAAAAACAAACACACTACAAGTTCACCAATAATTTAGATTTCTCTTTTTGGAAAAACAAAAACTGATTAAGAATGATAATAAATTTTTTTCTTTCTTCATTCTGACACATAATCATAATCAATAAAGTAAAAAATGGAAAACTTTCATGGATTCCAGGAAGAAAATTCAGATTTTTCGCACCAGATTCGCATGTTCGTATATCAAATCACCACCACCACCACCACAAACCCTAGTAAAAATATTGCCTTGTTTTTGTTGTTGGTCTTTTTCTTTTAATATAAGAAATCATTATTAATTAATTCATTCATTTATCAACCATCCAATAATGTACAACAGCAACCATATATAGACGCATTGATTTGGTTCAATCGTCTTTTTTTGAACTCGATACTATAGCAGCGATCGAATACAAATATATGAAGCACTAGAAACTTTCAATTTTTTCTAAACCATTTTCTTTTCCTTTCCATCATTATTACTTATATATATGAGAATCTAGCTGGTTGTGTCGTTTTCGTTTATTTTTTTTTTTTTTTTGATTTTGTTTCATTATAAGTGTTTATTCATTATTATCATTTATCAACGATTCCTTTGAGATGGTAGGTGGTATAACGGAAAGAAAAGCAAAAACGAAATGGCAATCGACCCAAATAACAGTAGTGGCGGAGTGTATGTGTCGTATGTAGTTTGTGAAAAGAAAAAAAAACGACAAGAAAGCCAAATCTTCACACATACACATATTTGATGACAGCAAACATGTAGCAAGTGTAAAGGCCTTTTTTGATCAACCAACAAACAACAATTTCATTATCATCATCACCATTATAACCATCAATGAAACATTGAGAACACACAATGTTATAGATAGAAAAATAAATAAATTCTTAGCAAAGAATCATGGGCATGAAAACTCTGAATCCACAACGAAAAAAAAAATTTATCGATAGATGTTGTTGTTGTTGGTTATTGTTGATATGAAAGATAATCGAAATTGCATGAAAATGAAAATGAATGATTCCAAAAAGAAATGGGGAAAAAATGAAAATGGCCAAATCAATTTGAGGATACACAACAGGAGAAAAAAGTTGCAACATCAAAGACCACAACTTTAATGTATGTGTGCGTGTTAAAGAATTGATCAATCATCTCGAACTTGATTCATAGTTTTCTTATCATCATTGGCCCATCGCCTGTTTGGTTTTATTATTGTTCGATGCTTGAATATTGAAAAAAAAACAACTCAACAGACAATAAGCATACAATAACAATGATTGCAAAAAAAAAGAAAAAATCTGGCTCAAAGATCCAAGGACCCAAGAACATCGAGCTATTGGAAACACAGACACACACACACACACACAGTGAGAAAAAATCAACTACAAACATACTACAATCAAATTTGATCGCTAATTGATTTTTTCACACAAATATTGAATCAAAAACAAACGACAAAGAAAAAAAGCTATGGAAAATAGTAAAATCAATGTTGTGATTGTGAATTCTATTACTGTTTTTGGCAATATATTTTTTAGAATGAAAACGAAAAAATAAAATAAAAACAAAACTTGATTGATCGATTTGATTGATTTTGAATGGTCTTGGTGAACCAACATTTAGCAATATATCATCATCATCATTATAGTTTGATGACCACTATTGTAATGATTTTGGTTTAGCTATTCGTTTTTTTTGTTATGAATGAGGCTAAGGACGAAAAAACTTTATCCATTTGATTACCATTCATGGTGCCAGTACATTCATTTCATGGAAAACATTCATTCATTCAATTCGATTCATTGATATTCAATGAAAAAAATTAGACATATGACACCATGGATATAAACACTGTTAAAATAGCAAACATTTTAGTCAGAAAAAAATAAACTAAGCTGTAATGTAATTCCAAACATACAATTAGAACCGAGAAAGCTAAAAATCAATATTTAGTAATCAATCAATATCGAATAGCGAATTCAGATTTTTTATTTCTCAACTTCGTAGGTAATTCTTAAGTGGATTCAAGAAAGTGAGATTGGAAAAAAAATAAATTTGTCATCAAATTGGCATCATCAAGAGCTCATTTTATCAATGGAACAGCAAATAACAATCTCCACACACAATCTGATTCAAATGATCCATAAAACGATCATCAAAATCGTGAAATACGAATCAAGAAAATAAGAAAAATATGTTACCGAGTGAATGGCTATCATCATCAATAGCTAAAAAATGGTACACGCAAATTTGAAATTAGCGTTTTGTTGTTGTTGTTTTCTTTTATATCTAAAATTCCAACGAGAAAAATTGTATAATTTTTTGTGTACCAGGTTTTTTTTCACTGAAACAATTGTCGATTATCCGATAACAACTGGGATGAAAAATGGGACGGTAAATAAAATAAAAGAAAAATTTTCCATTTCATCGGTATATACCCAAACAAAACGAAAACATTCGTCGTAGTCGTAAAGCGGCTATCAAATAGAAATTTGTTCACTTTATTTCAAGTGAATTTTTGAAACAACATTTCAAATGGCCAAATTACAGGACAAAATTAGACACATTTAAAGAGCTTTATCAAACGAAAAAAAAATTCTCAAGTGGCGACAAAAATTGAAAAAAAACCTTCTGTGTATAAATGGTCAAAATTGGTAAGTTTGTTGTTGTTGTTAGAGAAAAAAGGGAAAGTTGAATTTTTGTTTTTATTTTTTTGTTGTTGTTGTTGTTGGTTGCTGCCGGTCGAAACAAAATTGGCATCCACTTTTACTAAAAGAAATTTTTTGCTTTGATGATTCAAACTTTTAGGATCAGCAAACACACACAACCTTGAATGGAAATCATTATGGATTCAATGAAAAATGTGGAAAATCCACAACAGGAGGTGAAATAAAAAGGATAAAAAGCAAATGGAAATCAAACCAAATGAATCAGAATTAAATCGTCCATATCTATAATTACTCAAAACTATGGCTTGGAAAAAAATTTCTGGTTTCATTTTCTTGTCGGTTAAATTATACGTATAAAAAAAATATAAATCGAAAAAACCACCAGAAAGACCTGTCAATTCGTGGTGATTCCCTTTCATACACAAGCATGGTATTATTATATCTGATGATGATGATGAGCGGCATTCAAGTGGAAGGAAACAAAAAACTTCCATTCTTCGTATATGATGACAAACATTTGACATCTTGTTTTCTTTTGTATGTTGTACTGCTACACTATAATGTGTACATACATGTGCATTTGTCGTTTTTGTCGTAATCATTCCTCGAAATCATCATTGTGTGTGTATATGTTCATTGGTCAACCAAACACTAATAAAGAATGGTTAAATGAATGAATGAGAAACTTTTTTTCTCTACAATCATAATTACAAACCATACACAAACAATGATGATGATGATGATGATGATGATGGTGAATCAAAATGTAAACGATGAACAAACATGGATTCATTGGATTGACATGTATAATACAATGAGAAGAGATGAAAGAATTCATTGCTCAATCTTCTCCAAAGGGATCAATGATTATGATGATGACATTATTTTTCTAAATAACAACAACAACCATTTACAACCGGACAATTTTCGGTTCTAAAATGGGCAAATGTAGGAATTTTTTTTTTATTTGGAAAAAATAAGTTCAAATGAAAAAGTTGAAAGGAAATAATGAAAGTTTTTCTTTTTCATCATTCCCATACATCTATCCATTCATTCCAGCAGAAGAATATAAATGGTTAAATATAAAAAAGGGGATGACAAGAAAAAAAAACTTTTCGGTTCTTGTTTTTGTAGCCGTATTTTTTCTTGGCTATTTGGAAAAAATAAAAAACTTTTCCTGTGACGAAAAAGAAGTACAACTTTTCATCTTAATTTAACTAAAAACTGTCTGTG